CTGAGTTTAGCTGGTACTTCAGATTGCTCTCTGGCACTGAGACCAGAGGTACAAAGCAGCCTGCTGCTGTGCTACAGAACACCCTGAGCTCACCAAGAGATACAACAGTATCAGGAATTGTTCTAATGATTTAACAGCCAAGAAGAGTCAATTCCAACTACCAGGAAAACTCCTTGGTACTGTTTAGTTATAATAAGGGAATGTAGCATTAGTTAGAAATAAGCTGAGAGGATAGAAACACACTCAGACACGGCAATTTGAGCTTTGTCAAAGCCAAAATAGGGATTCAGGCCTGAGCATAATTTGCTTTGAGAAAGGAATAGAAGGAAACCTGCAGGGATCAGAGAGAATAATTTAACAGACTTTTCAGCTTTAGAGGAAATTAAGATGCTCAATGTGAAATATTCTTTTAAGCTTTGTTTCATGTATCTCTCAGTAATTGAACCCCAGTTGGATTCTTCCAAGTAGAACTGAAATTTCCTTGCATTGTTAGTTTTGAAAAGGTGGCATCATTGTATTTGTCATTTACAAAATGAATACTGAGCGGAGGAGGAGAACATGTTTACTACTGACTTGATCTTTCCTTCTGTCTTTGTCTTGCCCCTCCTGGCCTCCCCTTTGGATAAGACAACTCACACTGAGGGTTTTTTAACTTTTGTGTTGGCATTACAAAACCTCCACTGACTTAGAAGCAGGCTTACGGATGAGTAGCTCTTTTTAATGAGTATGTCACTTTTCATAAGAAGAGTGGAAGGGAGTTACTTTTGGGTATGAAGATGTTTGCCAAAATTGTGAGAAAGTTCCCTGTTTAAAATGAGAGCTGGTCAGAGGAAGAGATTATAGTTTACAGGACAAATGCAAAAGCATGTAACTGCTAAAAAGCTCTCACTGAACATTTATCTGAGGGGATGAGTGTTTAGATCTGTTAGTCGTTACTGATTGCCACTCCTCAAAATACCACCAAACTGGATTTTCCATCTGTAAAAGAGTTATATTTTATTTTTCATAGAGCCCATCTCAGTTAAATCAACTTTAATAATTACAGGGTTCTTAAACATTCCCTCCAATTCAGAAGACACAAATTTTAAATACAGTTTAATTTGAAAATATGTCTTATTTATATAGGTAGAACTTTGCTTGTCAAACTAGTTTTGAAATACACTGTATTTCATTCAGACTAGCAGATTTTTCTTAAGTAATTTAGCACAATGGGGTGTGTTTCTGGTAGTACTATCCACCAACGCTGTCCAGGCTTTTTCCCACCAAGATTCATTCCAGACTTCTAAATAGACAAATGAGTCTCTTCAGACTGGGATCCAGATCTTTATATTCAAATTAAAAGGATTCAACACCATGGCTCTAGTTTTGACTTGTTTTCACAGAATCATAGAATGGATAAGGTTGGAAGGGACTACAGTGGGTCATCTGGTCCAACCTCTCTGCTGGGTCATCCTAGAGGACATGGCACAGGATTGCATTCAGATGGCTCGTGAATATCTCCAGTGAGGGAGACTCCACAACTTCTCTGGGTAATCTGTTCCAGTGCACAGTCACCCGCACAGGAAAGAAGTTCTTCCTCATGTTCAGGTGGAAGCTCCTGTGCCTCACTGTCTGCCTGTTGCCTCTTGTCCTATGGCTTGGCACCACCAAGAAGAGCCTGGCTCTACCTTCTTGGCACCCTCCTTTAGATCCCTATAGACATTGATGAAGGCCTCTTTCAGTCTTCTCTTCTTGAGGCTGAATAGGCCCAACTCTGTTAGCCTTTCCTTGTAAGAGAGATGCTCCAGTCCCTTAATCATCTCCATAACCCCCTCACTGGACTTGCTTCAGGAGCTCCATGTCTCTCCATGTACTGAGGAGCACAGAACTGGACACAACACTCCAAATGTGGCCTCAGTAGGGCTGAGTAGAGGGGCAGGATCACCTCCCTCAACCTTCTGGCAATGCTTTTTCTCATGCACCCGAGGATACCTTTGGCCTCAAGGACACTGTACTGGCTCATGAACAGCTTGTTGTCCACCAGGACCCCCAGGTCCTTCTTTGCAGAGCTGCTTTCCAGCCTGTACTTTGTCAGCCTCCAGCTTGTACGAGTAAAGGGAGTTATTCCTCCCCACTTGCAGGACCCTGCATTTGCCCCTGTCGGATTTCAGGTGGTTCTTCTCTACCCAACTGTCCAACGTGTCAGGGTCCTTCTGAAGGGCTGCACAGCTCTCTGAGGTATTGGCCACTCCTCCCAGCTTTGTGTTGTCAGTGAACTTGTGAGGGGGCATTGATGAATAACTTAATACTGGGCCTAGTACTGAACCTTGGTAGACAGCACTAGTGACAGGCCTACAACTGTGCCACTAATTAGGACCCTCTGGGATCTGCTCTTCAGCCAGTTCTCAATCTACGTCGCTGTCCACTCATCCAATCCACACCTTCTGATTTTGCCTATGCTGAAATGTTTTAATGGAAATAAAATAGCAGTCATTTTACTCTTCTCTCTTGCCTGTCCTTCCCCTTATATACACATATGTATTCTTAGCCCTTTTTCTGTAATTATCCTCCTTTCTTCTTGCTCTGCTCCCACAAATCATAACTTAGTGTTATCTTTGTAGTTCATATGATAATTAGTAAATATAATTAATAATTATATATAAGGATAACTATAATTAAGATAATAAGATGGAAAATTGTCACGTCGGGATATCTGTATCCCATTAGAACTGGAATTTCGTTTCTGCTCCACTTGGCTTACATTCAACCTGCTCTGATTTTGAAAGAATAAGCAACCCGAGCATATTTCTGCACTTATGAATAAAGACATACTGTAGACTGCACATGAATAAATCCAGGCAGTCATTTTTATTGTCATTAAAGAGCATTTTTGTTCTATGCCAACGAATGTTCTTGGTAATCTATGAAAGAGGCCTCTGAGCTAACTAGTGAAAACAAGCATCTTTCTCACCCCCTGCCTTGGCAGAAGTGCATGATGAGTGTTCGTCAGCAGTCACAAGTGAACTTGTTTGAAGGCTTGTCTCTACAGACAGAGGTTTTTCCAATTGATTGGGCCACTTGTACTTGTGCAGTATGACATGACCTTTAATTGTACAGTCAAACACTACTTTTCCATCAAGCATTTGCCTCATTCGCTGCACAAGATGGATGAGAGTGCACTGGGAATTGAATTGGGCAATAAGGGAAATTACTGATTAGGGGTATCTCAGCTTAGTAAAATGAGGACGCCACTGCAGTTTGATGATCATTCTTGACATCTTTAATCTTGCAAGCCATGCAGACAAACAGACAACCTCACAGATTTATTCATAGCCACAGGAATTTAAAAAGATGAGCAGACACACTGATTGAAACCATAGGTCTATCTAACCCTATGTTCTCTCTCTGACAGAGATCAACAGTAGGTACATGTGAAATAGTTTAAGGACAAAACAGTGCTATTGCCTGAACTGCCATACTTTTGTGACTCAAGGATTTCCTAATTTGGAGGAGTCTTTGATGTAAATATTAAACCTCAGTTAATTTCTTTTCACCAGCGTCTCATCCAAGTCCTTTTAATGTGCTATCTTCTCAAGCAAGGCTAATGGCTCACCTCCCAGGCTTGCCTTAAGCCTGCCATGTGCTGGCTTCTTGAGAATGGCCAGTCCCTATCCATTCTCATCACACAACTCACACATGTCTCATATTCTTCCAGAAAAGGATACTGAGCAGAAGCCAGCATCCCAGAAAGCTTGTAACATGCCCAGAGGGCAGCCAGCCTTCACTTCTGTTGTCATCTGTGACAGCTTGGCCTGCCTGCCTGTACGGTTGTTAGATATAGACATACTTTGTTGTATTTCTACTCCAGTGGCTCTTGGAAAGAAGACAGCTGATGGCTGAAATAGAAGATTTCAGTGAGTGTATGAGTCGTCTTTTGGCCAAGTTGAGTGCCACTGTAGACAACAACAGGATTTTCTCTCTGCTGCAGCCACAGAATTTCTGTGTGATGCTGAGCTAGTCCAATACATGAAACTTTTCCCAGATGGGATTTGAAATCATGGGGTTTAATTTGTAGAAGTGCTGAGCATTCACAGCCATTGAGAGCTGTACTTTGTACATGCAAAGTGCTGCTTCCTGCCAGCTTCCCTGAAAAATCAGTCCCTTCGTGTATCTTATCAGTCAGTGCAATTAACAGATGCTTTTGACCTGGATTTCTTAGTGCTCTGTTTTCCCTCTTTGTAATGGAGGACTGATACCACCCTGCATCATGAGTATTAGATTTCTGAATTCTCAGGCACTACCACAAAAAGCATCACAGTGCAGCCAACTCAAATAGTAACTATGTAGTTCAGGGGGGATTTCCATCCTGTGTGGGGAGTGAGGTCAAAACCTCTACAATGACACAACAGGGTATAGCACAAGTACCTGGAGAGTGACTTCCGACAAGGGCATGTAGTGATAGAACAAAGGGTAATGAACTAATAATAAACTAAAAGAGGGCAGGTTTAGATTAGATATAGGGAAGAAATTCTTCACTGTGAGACCCTGGAACAGGTTACCCAGAGAAGTTGTAGATGCCCCATCCCTGGTAGTGATTAAAGACAGGTTGGATGGGACTTTGAGCAACCTGGTCTAGAGGAAGGTCTGTCTCCCCATGGCAGGGGGGTTGAACTACATGATCTTTGAGGTCCCTTCCAACCCAAACCATTCTACAATTCTGCGATTCTATCTACATATTCCACTACCATAAACCATTCTGGGCACTGATCTCAAACACACACACACACACACACACACACACACACACACACACAAAAATACATATAATGATCATGTAACAGGCAACTTTTTCATTTACTGGTGAACAAATTTATATTGCCCAAGTAGCCTTAGTTGTGATATCTCCTATTTTTCATTAATTTTTCCAGGACTTTTTAGGGTGTTTGTTTAGACAATCAACTCAAACCTATTTGCATTTTGAACTTCTTGTAAAGTATTTTTGTTTGCATTTTGCCTTTTAGAAAATACTTGCAACAACAAACGTCTGGACCTTGTCTTCATCATTGACAGCTCTCGCAGCGTACAACATTATGACTTTGAAAAAGTGAAGGAGTTCATTTTAACCATCTTGCAGTTCCTGGACATCAGTCCTGACGCCACCCGGGTAGGTCTGATTCAGTATGGCAGCACAGTCAAACAGGAGTTCTCGCTGAAGACCTTCAGGCGGAAGCAGGATATCGAAAGAGCAGTGAAGAGGATGATGCACCTGGCCACTGGCACCATGACTGGGCTGGCTCTGCAGTACGCAGTGAACATTGCATTTTCAGAGTCAGAAGGAGCTCGGCCTCTGAAGCAGAATGTGCCCCGGATTATCATGATAGTGACAGATGGGAGACCTCAGGATCCGGTGGCAGAGATTGCTGCTAAAGCTCGTAACTCAGGAATCCTAATTTTTGCCATTGGCGTGGGAAGAGTAGATATGAACACTCTGAAGTCCATTGGGAGTGAACCGCATGAAGAGCATGTTTTTCTGGTTGCTAATTTCAGTCAGATTGAAACACTGACCTCTGCCTTCCAGACTAAACTTTGTGGTAAGATTTTTATCTATAGATTTGAATGCACAGATGAAAGTAAAACACAGAAAAAATATAATATAATTAAACTTTTTTTTACATTAAACCTTATCTTTTAGAATATATGTTTTGAAGTGAACTAGCCAGACAACATTCAGAACTACAGTCATACATCTGGGATAAACCTAATGCTACTGTTAGGTGCCATAAAATGTGGTCTAATTCCTAGTGGTCATAAGCAGTGAGGCAAACACACATATCATGATTTTCCTATTTATTGAGTAATAGCAATACATTTACAACCCTCTGCTGTTTTAATATTAGATAAGTTGTTTCATCTATTCATTTTAAATGTGATCTCCCTTAGTAGTGAAACTTCAAACTGATAAACAGTCTTTCAGTTATTTAAATATTCTGGGAAGTTCGTGTATTCCTCTTCCAAAGCTTACATATTAATTCTATGTAAACAATCATTTCTGTACCTGTGACTGGAAGTGAGACACAGGCATGGCAATGTTTGTATTCCATCTATTTGAAATACAGAAAATTAGGAAAATCCATTACAGTGATATTATTCATTCGCACAATAAAGTAAATAATATTTTAATAGGTATTAATTTACAACAGAGATATCACTTCCATCTGTAATTCCCTTTACAAGAACTTACACTTTACAAATATCAAGGGATACATAATTAATTTTATTCCAATCTGTATAGTAAGTATAATTCTCTTTTTTATTTTTTCACGAGATAAAAATGAAAGTGCTTCATACAGATTTGGCATTAAGCTAAGGCATTTTCAGCAGAGTCCAGAAAAAGAATGCATGGTGAGATTAAATGCTCACTCATCTCTAGGGATGCTTTTGCCAGAAAAGAACTGAGGCTTATTGTAAGGGTAGTCTGGAGATTTTTCCTTACTTGGTCTTTTCCAAAATTGTTTCAAAGAGCAGCTGAACTGCATCAGCACAAAACACCAACACAGACATTCATCAGACAATAGATTTTTTTCCTGTTTCTTCCTTGCTGCATTATTAGCTGACATAGTAAGATATATTTAAAGACCAAGAAAAAGTAAACTAATCACAGATTGAGAGTTTAAATGGAATGAACAGCAAATGCTTCAAAGTGCCATCTTATTGAATTTCTTTAATTGTGTTTTAGAAACAAATCCAGCACAAATACTGTTTACTTGATTTTTTCTGACTAGGCAGTGTCCAATAAATTTATTAGAGTTTTATAGCTCACTTTTAGTCAAATACATGGATTCCTCAATAAAACCACCCCCCCTGCAGATGGAGGAGTATGGAGGTGACAAGGGTTGCAGTTGCCTCCTGTTCTCAGGGAATGCCTCCACAATATCTGCTGTGCTGGGAATTGAAAGTGAGATCCTAAGATGTTCTTAAAAACTCATAGCCAGATGCAACAGATAATTTAAGCTGTTAGATTCATATGGATTTCAACTTAAGGTACTAAATTGCAGATAGGATCCTTAATATTTTATTGGCTCTCGACTGTGAAGCAGCATTCATCTCTTGCTGAATCTCAAGAGAGCATCTAAACTTTGCTTCCTGAGCACCTACATTCCTCCTGGGAAATGCGGTTAGTTTTTTTAAGTCGTCCCATGTGTGGACCCAGAGGCAATATCCTTCTAGCTGAGTTGAACATCTGGACACCTTGTTTCTTTGTTAAAGCAATTGAAGGCATCCCTCTGGTCAAGTCTCCTGTCATGTCCAGCCTCCTGCTAAGTTGGAGTTTCCCTACAGATGATGCCTCTGGCTGCTAAAGATCTGAGGATATCAGAAACAGCAGTTGAAGCCAGGGGATCCCAGGGGCCTCCTTTTTTATTACTAGTCAGCAGGGTAAAACAGAAGCAAAGAGTATCCTGGGAAATCAGAGGAGTAGACAAGAATTGAAAACTCAGAAGAATGTAAACAGAAATGAGGACAGAACCCTGGAAAGGATATGGAGATTAGAAGAAGTGTGAGAAAGACAGAACTTGGGATGGAGCAGTCAGGGGAGAATAAAGTCTGTATTATGTTCCTGTAAAGTAGATAGTGGTGCCATCCCCATTTTATGTTGGAGAAATGGAGGCACAGAAATAGGTTTAAGTCTGTCAAGATCACCCACTAACTTTAAATATTTTACTCAGTGCAATTCCTGGTGTGATCTTCTGGGGCATTTAGCATTTTTGGACTAATGCAACATATTATTCACAGCTCTGCAACCATCACTTGCATTCTTGCAAATCCAGATTCAGATGTCCCTATCTAAACAGTGTGAATGTTGATGCTTCCTTGAAGATACTGTTATTATTGGCTTGCCCAAAATCAAATAAGGACCCTGTGACATAGGGACAAAATATAATTCACAACAAGGCTCATGTTCAAATTCCTTAACTATGAGATCACCCTTTCCATTACTTCAGTCCCTGTCTGTGACTGCCAAACACCTCCTGCAACAGGTGACATTACAGAAATCATTCAGAGAGCAGGCTCCTTCATCATAGAAATTAGACTGATGACCAGAGTATCACTGGTGCTTTGAAATGAGTGCAACAGAGACACTTTGGAAAAAAAATTATGTGGTAATACATGGGAAGATTGGTAACAGACGGTAACAATATATTCTTAGAAAGGACTGAGTTATTGGGATGCTTGTCATTGAATGCTTTCATTTTCAGAATGACAGAAAGATGAAAAGACAAGAAGTCAAAGCAGGTCTATATTCCCATAAATCAAAGTACTTGAGAAGTTTTATTATGGCAGCAAGTTATGAGATCCAAGAAACTGATTAGGAGATTTGGGAATTGTGGTGGTTTGTGTATTAGTAATAAATGCCTAATTCTTGTAACCATTTCAAAGAGGAGATGCATAGTATATATCTTAAAAACCACATGTGGTTTTTTCCACAAGTACCACACATGCCACATGTTAAGTTATTTAGCAGGCTTCTGTTGTGGTTTCTAGAAGATTACTGTTAGTATCTATTCCATAAATTTTGAGCTTTGTTGACCTAGCACATTAAGGAGCACATAGATCCCTAATTGCTGTTGAGCAAAATCAGTTATTATAGAAATTACATACAAGCAATACTCCAGTGGAAAGAAAACATCAGGGAGATTTCCAAATTCCCAAATACTGCTCTGGAGAAAATAGTTCAATGATGAACTTGACAAAACAGACCTACCATTCTTTTTTATTTTACTGTCTCTGCCTGTTGCCTTCTGCTACTTGCTATTAGAGACATAAAATACAAACAGATTAAAAATAGACCCAGAAAGACTTACAGTCTGGAGCATAGCTCATCTCAGCAACTGCTTAATGAATCTTCAAGGAAGCATGTTCTCAGTGTCATCATGTATTACTTGCATGTTCCTCAGCATTAATAACTAAGCAAGTAAAATATTCTCTTCATTGTTTTCTAGTAATTCATCATCTTTAGTATTGTGCTGTGTGATGATTTTCTTCATTCAAGAAATCAAATGTCCTCTAAAGCAGTTTATATTTAAATTCCACTTATTTTCTAAATTTGAATATGGTAGGTTTGTTTTGTTGTTTTCTTGGGACCACCAAATAATTAGTGTTTTCAGATACTCGCTTGTGTATTTTTATTTTCTTAAGCTCCCATTTTTGTCTTTACTAGCAACATTAATTTGAAATTTCTAAATTATTTCAGTAAAATTTTCTACACCATTTTTTGTGACCACAAGTAGTTAAGGCCAGCAGTTAATAATGTTTTTCCCTTTTTTTTCAGTGCCTCATATGTGCAGTACAGTTGACCATCGCTGTGATCACTTCTGCATAAACACTCCTGGCTCTTACCTGTGCAGATGTAAACAAGGATATATTCTGAATGCTGACCAGAAGACTTGCAGCAGTATGTTATCTCACTTAATTTTTCTCTTTCTTGCTCCCAAAAAGTGCTTAACATCACACACCCTTTCTGATCGGCTCATAAAAAACTGAGGTCAGTATCTAATCAATGTTAATCATCAGAAAGAGTCTAGAAAGGTGGAGTTGTACATTTTTTTCTTGCTTTGTGTAAGTGAAATTCTTATTAACGTTTCTGAAATTTTGGTAATTTGCTGTATAATTTATAGTAACAAACTTTATTTTACTTTAATTGTGATCTTTGTAATCAATATTTTTTTTTAGTTCATTGTAACTTGTTTCCTAGTAATTAACAGCAAATTACATTAGGGGGATACACAAAATTTATTTCTGTGTCCACCATTATTTTAATGAAATTATGTAACACTATTTTTGAATTACTTGTGGAAAACGTACTTGTCTAAAATTCAGTTTATTATCCCACAACATTACATGGATTCAAATGAAATCTGCCAAACTGATTTGGGCCAGAAGAAAAATTTGGAAATTGTCTTCTCAGGAAACTGTGGGAGCATAGGATTTACTCCTCACAACTGATAATTCAGAATTAAGGTGGAGGATGCAGGCTCAGATCCTATCCTTGTATTTGATGTTCTGCATCTCAGGAGAGTTCCAATAAAACAATCAGGGAGTTTGGGATTAGCGGATTCTTAGTCTCTTTTGCTTAGTGTTGCATTTTAGATCAAATAGTGACCACTGAAACAGTGAGGATATGTCAGTATCTAAAGTGACTCTCTAGCTTTGGCATTAGAATCCTTACATGTGCAGTGGGACCTGTGGTTTCAGTCAGAGGCTCAGTAAATGGTATGGGATCAAAAGAGTGTCAGCACTGAACTGATCAGAGCATTCTAACTCCCATGGAAGCATCTTCAGACCCTTTGGGCTACAGCAGGAAACCACTTTTGAGCTGTTGAGCTAGGAGAATCTTTGTTTTCTATTCCTTCTCATCAGCATCCTTCACCAAATGCAGACATTTGTCATATTCATGTCTGTGAATTACAAGACAATATTTTGTGTTAAATTGAACAAATCTAACACTTCATTTGTGGTTTTGTTTCCTCAAGAAGATGAAAAAAAATCAGTTCAATCTGGAATATTTCCTAATTATTATTTGGTAGCAACTCAGCCAATACAACAACAGTGACCAGAAAAATTTTTTGTAGAGCCTATTTTCTCTGCTTTGGCATATTTGCTATAACTCTGCAGAAAGAAGGTGCTCAGATGGTGTAATCATCATGAAAAATGATGGCTCCAATTATGTAATCACGTTTTAATAGTATTCTCTAACATATTCTATTCCCTGTGTCCCCTTCTCATTTAAAACTTCTGTATGCTTTAAACCTTTCTTTTAAACCCTCTACATGCTATTAAATTTCTTAAAGAATTTTTAGCAAAGAATTTTTTTCTTTCAATTTTCTGAAATTTAATTGAAATTCAGAATTTCTCTTCTTTTTTTAATTGTTCTTCACACGTTGTCCTTATCCCCACCCCTAACATCAGTTTTGATAATTGAACTTGTCTTTTGTCAGTCTATTAAAAAAATTTAATTACAAGTATGAAAAATTCTTTTTTTATTGTCTCTTCTTTTTTACTGTGTTATGTTTCCATTGTTTTTGTCAGCCAGTAATCAGTAATTTTGCTTCAAATTACTGATTCATTTTCAAGAGTTTTGGAATTGTGTGTAATTTTCCTACTGGTGACCCATGCATGGTAGCCCTCAATATGTTCCCTTTCTACCATTTTTAAAGCCCTTTGCTGCATTGTTTTACTTTTTTTTCCATCTATGGCTTCTATTAGTTTTCCCCACCTACCTGTCACACATAATTTCCTTGATTGTGTACTTTCTTTGATCATCAATCAGAAGATACAGACTGAAGTTTGATAAATATGAAAGGGAAATTAATGTGTTTGTACCCTACTTCTAAAGGACTTGTTTTTACATTACCAAACTATAAACTAATTTGAGCAATTAGCACTGGGAATCTAATATGAAGAGGCATTCAAACTGGCCTTAAATGCGCTAGGATGGTGCTAATCATTGGTGAAGGAGGGAGACGATACAGTAGCAGTCTAGAGAAGGTCAAACCTTTATGTCCAAAATCCCCACAGAGATGTAACAGAATTCATGAGGATAGGGAGCCAAGCCTAGACAATTAGGAGAGCTTAGTTCTGGAGGTAGGGGAAACCATGGGGATGGAAAAACCCACAGGCTGGGAGTGTTTTGGTTACCTTCGTTGGCTGTTAATTGCCCACAAGTTCACAGAGAGAACATGTTCCTCACCTGACCTCTGAGAAGAATAAATCTTCAGCATGTTTATGTTAAGGGCAATACATAATGAACATAAACCAGATGTATTTATCTAAGCTGTGGATGTATTTGGCAGCTTTTTCACGAACAAATAGTTTCCTTATATACATTTTAATGCTTTCTAAATTAAACAGTGCAGAAAAGATGAAAGATACGTACCTAAAGTTATATTCTCTTTTCATTCTCCTGTACCTAAAGTTATATTCTCTTTTCATTCTCCTATACCTAAAGTTAGACTCTGTTTTCATTCTTCTGTTCCCTTTTATTTTAATGTTGTGGGAGTACACCACAGAACAATCACTGAAGTGATTCAGTTCTTAAAAACCCTTAACCAAATGGCTTCAATCAGCAGTGAACTGACAGCTTTGCTTCAGGCTGGAATATGGTGCATTTCGGTTTTAAATAGTTGATAATTTTGTTCCTTGATGCATTTCATTGTAACATTATTTCTAAAAAAGATATTTCCTTGCATTAAAAGAAGAACATCTCCTATATTTGTGATTTGTTACTTTCCATGTGGGAGAGCTGGGGGAAAAGGCAACTCAGCTGTCTTTAAGAACAAAACTAGGGAGAAAATAGTAATTTTGTTTGTTTAACTTGAAATATTCTTACATTTGTTTCATTATGATGGTTTTGCATCCATTCAAAGGATGCTCCTTTCACATACTGTGGTCTAACTTTTCTAGAGGAAAGTGGTTTTATGTCAGATAATGAGTATTCTTTACTCATTACATTGTATTTGTTTGTTTAACTAATCTCTTCCTTTCTTCTCTAAGATGCTCAAATCTTACATTAATACACAAAATAATACAAAAGAGGAAATGTAGCTGAAACAAGCTGGAAAATTATCTATTTGTGAGTGTTTATACTGGAACAAAAGAGTTAAACGACTGTTTATGCTTCTCATCATGCTGCTTGATATGAAGCAGACAGCTATAAAAGAAAATTCGTTTTTGCTTGGCTAGTTTCCTCAAACATGTTCCAAAAGCCCATTTTGTAGCTGTAAATGACCATTATGTGTTGAGCAGTCTTTGAGTAATGCAAAAGTACGTTGCTTTCCAGAGCTTTCGCTGGGGAAACTTGAGGTTCTCATAAAGCGTTAGTCTGTTGAAAAGAAAGCCCAGTGTGCTTCACTTGGCTAGGTGCTGAACTGACCTCATTTGTCATTGTGATTTTATTTATGAGATCTTTTCCTTGGGAGGGGTAACTGGCTACAGTATTTCACACAAAAATGAAAAAGTCTAAAACTCAGAAATTAAATATCCCCAAGTCTTCTGATGTTGTGTTTTCCTTTTCCTTTCCAACTTCATCATCATTTATCTGGTTATGCCAAAAAACCAAAACAAAACAAAAAAACACCCTAAACCAAACCAAAAAACCCTCCACCAAAAACCACAATTTTTTTTCCCAAAAAAACCCTGAGGAATGCCCTTTGAACTTTTTAGAGAAACATACATCAAGCAGCTCTGCTAGGCACCATTGGCCCATCAATAGTCATGGCCTTCAGCTGAAGGAAGGAGTTCCTCAGCTTTTGAGTGACTGATCCTGCTGGCTTTTACTGTTTGACAGAACATTGGTGTGATTTGTGTTAAAATGAGCGAATTTCTTAAGAGCTGTCCACAGCTTCCTGAAATTTACTTTTGATCTATAATCTACCTGTGCATTGTAGAAAATCAAAGAATTTCATATTCATGCAATTATGTTTTGTAGCTCAGGACCTCTGTTCTGTGGAGAAACATGCCTGTGAGCAGATTTGTGTGAACACACCTGGGTCCTACGTCTGTCAGTGTTATGAAGGGTATGAGCTTGATGCAAATGGAAAGAATTGTGTCGGTGAGTATGAGTTCATCACTTCATATTTATCTCTTAACACAAACCAAAGGGAAATGAAATGTAAATGAGTATCCAGTTTAGCCATAGACAATGAGGGGAAATTCTCTTCTCCTATATGAGTGGTAGGTGAGGAAGAACGCATAATTGGCATGTTTGTAGGCCTTTACTGACAATAAATGGTGTCTTGGGAAAATTGTTCCAAGCAATTTCACACAGAAAATAACATTGCTGTTTTGAAACAAAACATAAGATGTTTTATTCGAGATCCATGTAGGAGGCCGGCAATGTACTGGCATGATATATGTGGCCATTAAAAAACAAAGCCAGAGAAACTCAGTAGCTCCTCTTCAGACAGAATTTATGCACAGAAAAACCTGAAAGTGGGCAATTTCTTGATATTTAATTCACTTGATTTTATGGTCATGTGAGTGGAGATTTCAAACCCTTTTTGGGAAGATGGTCTTCAGGAAAGTTTAACCTCCTTAAGAAGCCATCCACTATCTGCATTTAATTTTCGCTATGAGCAATAATGAAGTAAACATCAGATCTAAGAATTACAACCCAAAAGAAAGACTGTAGAAATACAGTATGATAATTTTTTTAAAACAAAACATACTTCCCTCTCTATTACCATGTAAGTATCTTTCTCTTCTTTCCTGTTATACGCAGTAAATACTTGGAGTATAATCTTTTTGCCTATTTGCCCTGTAAATTTTTCATCCCATGCTACATTCTGAGAAAATATTGTCTTCTGATATCCACCACAAAAAAAAACCTTAGTGAGACCTTGAAGAAAAATTGCATTATTTGTTAGGTATTCTCTTCAGGCAAGCACTTAAATGCATGCTTAATTTCAAATACATATTGAAAAACCATGGAAGTGAATCCCAGTGAATCCTTGCCCCCAAATCTGCCACAATGCTTTTGTCCAACACCTTCTTTCTTGTTGTTTTAAAAAACTCTAACATAATATATTTGTCTTCTATTGCCTTCACAGAGCTTTTGCCTTGTAGGATAAACCTGTTTTGAGATGCAAAACAGGTGGCAGTTTATGGAACTTTCTGCACGTACCTTCATATAGGAAATACAAATGAGGTTTTCCAGGTTTTTTAGGCCTAGGGTAACATACAATTTTGAAGAACATTCACTCTGTGCTTACTCACTCTTCCGAAACATTTTCATTACTTGTAGCTTAGGATTTCAGGATTGGAGTGTTTAAAGTTCTCAGTGTAATTTTTCCCCAGCATAATTTGGCCACTAATACACCATTTTAAGAACCTACTTTTTGAAGCCAAACTGTTTTGAAAATGCAGATAATAATGATTATTTAGGCAAGTTAGATGTTCTGGCCCAAATTTCTACGTCTAACATTCCACTGAAGTTCTTGCAATACCCTTAGCTGATCCTCATGACCTTTACCTATGTTAGGATAAAGGATATGCTTCTCTACTATTTATTTGGCTATATCCTGACACAGAAAATCTGCAACTTCTGTTGGTAGGTTCTTTCATCCCCAGTTCTTTCCTACCATATATTCTAATCCAAAATATTCATGTTAGTGTCATCAACTGTTGTTACTGTTTCCTCTCTATTAAATTGAAGGGTCCTTGACAACCCAAGATATTCTTACTGGGAAGGTCGCTACCAGAGCATCATTCTGGAGAAATTCTTTGTGTGTCAAATCTAATATTATCCTCTGTAATAAATACAAAGTCTATTTTTGCTATTAAAAGCTTCAAAATATTTTTATGCCATTTATTATATTTCTTGAAGTGGCATTTGTTTTTTTGCCTGGTAATAACTTATTTGCAAAGTCTGGAGAATGGTATTTGGAGGTGGGATACATCTTTGACTTTTTTTTCTATCTCCTCACTGACTTTCTTTAGCATGAAGAGATACAGGTCTATTATAAGCTCTAAAGATTTAATATTCTCTTTTCAATTATTTTCAAAATGTAGTTCATGCATGGGTTCATTATCTTGCAATTTATAGCTCTTTTTGTCCTCCACTTGATTTCTATTTGTTTGTACCACTTCAGCAAAAAACCATGAATTCATGCTATTCATATGACTGCAATAATTAGCAGTATTAATTGTGATTTTAAAGCACACTATTAACTCTTCTATTTTTCAATTTTCTCTTGCATTTGTGTATTTGGCCATTTAATTTTTAATTTCTTACTGATATACAAGAATGGTTCAATGTATATTAAATATGTTTGACCCATGCAGAACTTAGCTTCTTTATCTTTCCTGAACAGGAAAAGCTTGCCTGGGTAAGTTGTGATTTTGATGGTAATTTTTCTGCAAATCCTATTGGCTGTCAGCCTCCAGAATTTGATTTTTCAGGTTTGAACAATTTGACATTTTTGAGGAATATGCTACTACTAAGAATGTACAGCTTCCGCAGATGTGATGACCAGTGAATAATCACCCTTGCTGGAAAATCATATAAAGAAGACTATGTGTAGCATTGAATCAGTAGTGACAACTCTCAGTTTTTCTTACTCTTAAGCTATTTAACCCTTCCTTTCTGTGAAGTATTTATTATCAAATGAGCCGGATCAGAAAAAAGATCTTGATGTACACATATACTAGAGACCACTGAGTGCAATAACAATTTTGCAAAAAGCAGTGACTTCATTAAGGTTACTCTCTCCTCATGCAGAGAATGAAGAGAGAATTTCAGTGGAAAATACCCATTGTGGTTCTCTCAAAGAGACAGAGGTTTCCCTCTGAGATATCTAATACTTCTAAAGTTTTAAGTCCAGCAAAAGCAAATGAGAAAGTGCAGAAAACTCATTTCACAAGCATGTTTTTTAAGATCTTTCTGATGGGCTAAATTAAGGATCAAAGGCAATACTAACTGCTTTATTGATGCATGTCAACCAGTTATCTGAATGGCAATAATAAAATAAAATCTTGCAGCCAGAATTCACAATGTATCAATTCAAAATGACCACTGAACAGCCAACCACTCGAGTGTTTGCAACACACAATTTATGAACAAATTTTCAGACTAAACAATATTTGAAACTGTCTGCTCTGGCTGGCAGAGCACTATCACTTTGCCTTTTTGAGCACCTTTTCACATGAACGAAGTCCTGTCAGTTGAGGTTTGGTGGTTATGAGCCATTCTTTCTCCATCATGCTGCTGGACACTCAGTCTCTCTTGGTGTTGCTGGACATGCTGCCCTCTCTTTCCTGGCACTAGTGCTAGACTCTCTCCATATTGCTGCAGCTGTTGGGCTTGGGTCCTCTTTACCTGGCAGTGGTTTGGCTGCTGGCACCTCTCTGCATTCCTGGCACTGCTAGATTTTTTTGGCTGCTTTTTAGGTTCTTATGAGTCTTCTATGAGTCTGCTCTACTCTTCCCCCTCATTCTTTTTCATCCTCCTTATGCCTTTAGTTACTCTGTCACCTTTTCTTCCTACTCTTTTCTTCTACCCTTCTCCTTATCTTTGTTCTCCTGAGCCTGAGTAACCTGTATACACATCATAGGAGTAAAACAACTATACAAGAGAAAGATAAGCCACACTGCCCAGAGTTCAGAGAGGGCAATGTAAGCATCCAGATTGCAGAACTGGTAACTGGAAGTAAAAGATGGCACTTGTCACTTACTAACTAATTCTGAGCAACAAAAACAGGGCAGAACAAACATGGGTAGATGACAAATGAATTAATAGTTTGCTCACTAAAAAGGACATTAGTTCAGCATTTAGAAAAACTTATCATTGAAATAGGCATGACATAACAGTAAAATCAGTGAGATCTCTAAGTGTTCATTTTCTAACGTATATCTCATGACTCAGTATAGCAATATGAAAATAATAACACTTCTACAAATTAGGAAAATATTATTCTGCTTTGCTCTTATAGCAACTGTGTTTATTTTCTGCATACCAACTAAAGGATTACAGTACTTCAGTATAAGAAATAGAAATTTACAGTTTTTCTCAGTCTTTTCAGGGAAATTCAACTCCATAGATACCTTACCTACTTGCTGACTGGAATACTGTTGACAAGTTTCCCTTCTAAACAAATACCACCAAAATGAAACATGAAGCTAAAGCTGAAATGACTTTATAGGTCAGTTACTAGTGCCAATCTGCAAGGCTAAGCCTGCCTGTAATTAGTGCAATTTATACACAAAATTATTGAAAAAAGGAATAATACTTATCTCCAAAAGCAACTGTCAAGCAAATGTTCTTACTTCTTAACTGTGTTAGTGGAAGGGTATCTTTTAAATTAATGTGCTCGTTGTTCTTATAGGTCAGCAGACCTAATTCTGTCAGTAAAACATCCTCAGAAGGCTATAAATGCTAAAAAGTAAGCCTGAAAAAATTAGTTATTTATTTTGTTGGGTTTTTTTCCTTTCTGTCCAAGGTACATTAGCAACTGCATAGCCACAAGAAAGCACAGTTCTTCCCTCCAGAGACTGTAATTTGAAAGTGCTTAGGGTCATAGTTGCTCAGACGTTGATAATAAAACATTTTAAGACCTGTTTAGTTGTCTCTAAAGCAACAAAGCTGGTGAAAGTGCTGGAAGGAATGTCCTGTGAGGAGCAGCGGAGGACTCTGGGTTTGTCTAGTTTGGAGAAGAGGCTGAGGGACAACCTCATCTCTCTACAGCTTAATGAGGAGGGGACATGAAGAGGGAGCTCTGTGTTGAGATCTTCTCCCTGTTACCCAGGGATAGGACATATGGGAATGGTTCAAAGCTCTGCCACAGGAGTTTTAGACTGGACATTAGGAAGCATTTCTTTATTAAGAGAGTGGTCCAACACTGGAACAGGCTTCCTAGAGGAGTTGGATTAGTAGTAATTAATTTTGTTAAGGTTTAAAGGCAGAAGAGCAGGTGACTTTGCAGAGTAGTCCATATGGGCTGTTTCCCAGGTATGATGATAAATAGAAAAAAAATACATATTCTTTAGCTTACCTATTTCTTAATGTGTCTTTTAAAACACTTGAAAATGTACATGAGATTAGAATTAATTTAAAAGGAAAGCTGACTAATTGTATGACACATTATATCCCTGAAATACATATTCAGTAAATAGATTTTTATATGAATCTATTCAGTCTGGAAACAGGAAGGTGCATGCCAGGAAAATGGTCTCACATAGTAGCCAGTAAGTAGTTGACTTGACTCAACACAAATATTCTGAAGGGTTAAAAGAAACTCTTTCAAAGTAACTAAATGGGTTATCTGCGTTCCTGACTAGATGACCTTGACTAAATATTGTAGCACACCTGAGTGTGCATGATTTACAAAAGCAGGGCAATTGAAGAAAGAACTGAGTTCATTGAAACAAATTACTGCGTCTTGAAGAAATTTGTGAGGCTCAGCAGTATAAAGTAGTGAAAAAATTACTCAGTTTGCAAAGAGGAACCTGTCTCAGTAAATGTCTGTATGAAGCTTAACACATTACTGTCTTCTGCAGAAAGAATCAGGTATACTTTCCTAATGTAGGCCTGGCAGCTCTTTGGGGGCAGAGAACCAGCTTTGTGACTTATCTTTAATTTCTTCTAAGACTTTTGTTGTGGAGATACAACTTAACCTGCAAAGAAATTTAAAAAAATAGTCCTTTAACTTGTTTAGCACTTTTGAATGGGCTTTACAGAGTAACTCTGAAGTATTACCATATTACTCTTTGGCAATCTAACTTGTAAATATGGATTTATGTAATAAATTACCAGACTTATAAGTAACTGAATGTGATTTTTTTTTTTTACAAAAGGCATTATATAAGCAAAATGTCAGTAGTGAGTACAAGCCTGAAGCTCTCAGGCTTTGTAGTTGCAGCTGCTTTGTACAGAATGAATCTGGAGCATGCTAGAGGGAATGAATGTACTGTGACAGTCCTCCATGCAGAAGATATTGCCAAGGTTCTCCTATATGCTCAGGCTACAGGAACAACTCTTGAGAACTAGTACAACTGGGAGAGAACTAAGGAAAAATAGAGCAATTCCAGGATTGGGATTTGAGAGACAGAAGACAGAACTAAAGCAAACAAACTTTGCTACGCCCTGGACTACAGTGTGAACATCTGGACAGACTAACTGACTGAGGCATGGTTTCCAGATCTCAGAAAACATGTTGAGAAGATTCCTGACAATCTAATAAATGTTCAAAGTTGAGAAATGATTCCTATCAAATCTGGTTTACTAGCTGGTGTTGAAAGTGTACTAATTTTTGCAGAAAGACTTTTCAGGACACAAATTATGTCAGCTTTTCCTTTTTTTTAATAGTCTACTGTGTGTAACTAGTACCATAGTATTTATGCATAATAGTTCTTATTTTGTTTTTCTAATTGCACATTTTGGTCTTGTTCTTTTTCAGTTGTAGACTACTGTGCTTTGGATAATCAAGATTGCCAACACGAATGTGTTAACACTGAGGACTCCTATTACTGTAAATGCCATCCAGGGTTCATTTTAAATCCAGACAAAAGAACTTGCAGAAGTAAGTTGTGATAAAGTTTAATTATGAACAGTTTGTACTTCTTCTGTTTTCCAGTTGCCAGTTGTCCCACTGGTCCTGGGAACCCTGAGTAATGAGTCAGCTATAGAAAATGTTGGAGTGCCCTGGAAGCCAAAGGTCTTGAAAGCAATGCAAGTTGTTTTGGGGGATAGTTTGGCTTTTGAGGGGAGGGGCTAAGGTTAGGGGTCCCTCCTATGAACAGGAAGCTTTTAGCATGAAACCAGGCTTCTTTTTGACAGTTAAAGGCCAGAGCTTTGTCTTGCATTGTCTCTGATTATTTTGATTTTTCAGTTAGAATATCATCTCCCTAGCTGGGTGAACAAAGAAGTCTGTACAAGACAATTTATGATCAGATAAAATTATGAGTAATTCCACAATCAGAGGAAACACTGCAGTCTATTTTCCCGTGGATTTTTCTCCAGAGTGAGTTCTTTGATAGTGTGACAAAGCTCTGGCAACATCGGTATCTTCTACGAAGTTTACGTATTTCCACCAGATTATGGTAGCTTCCTGGCTTTGTTTGTTAGTTGTTTGCCAAATTTGATAGATACCAGGCTAACAAGCTCAAAAGTCAACAGGCTAGGATTGGCACATGTCCATCATGAATCACCCAAACCACAGATGGTGACCAGTGTTCCTTGTTACATCATCTGGCACTAACAAGAAGGGTTTAGCTGCATCACCTTTCTGATGACCCACAAGAAGTAATAGTAGGCCGCAGTTAAATACCTTCTTTTTCACCAAACTCAGAAAGACCACATTCCTCAAGTTCTCCACACGAGTAAAGTGCACTATGTCACAGCAGTAGGTCTTTGTTGAGCCCTCTTCATCTTAATCCTTTTAACTGTGGGTAGAAGGGAAGGGATTATTCCAGCACTGGACAAAATATGTCAGGTGCTGTCTCCAGCAATTTGGCCTGGCAATAGCCCTTGTTGGTCCAGAAGCTGACCTGCACACTGACTTCCCAGCTTGACCATGGCCTTCCCTCACACTACAGACCTGTCCAGCAATCCCTGGGCTGTGTCACTCCTGAGGGACACTCCTACCCTCACCAGGAGTGGCCCTGCCTCATGCTGACACACAGGCTGACTTCCTGGCTTGACCTCAGACCTGCCTCAGCAGCATGTATTTGTCTGCTCATCTGCACTTCTTGTTAAACCTGGCTACCATTTCCAGGCCTGCCCTGCTCAACCTGCTTGGGTTCTGCAGGGCACTACCTGTCTAGGAAGGTCCCTAGCCTGCTGCCTGCATTATCACCCTTGGCTCCTCTGGGGTCTCCTTCCCTTGGGGAACAGCTGGCCCATGCTCCTCCCTGACAGCAGGTCATTTCCCAGTCTGTACAAGCTATAAGGTCTTTCCAACCCAGATGCAGGACTTTCCAATTCTTCTTGCTGAACTTCATACAACATCTTCTGGTCTAATCATCAAGTTTATAAGGCTCCTCTGTATTTAAGTTCTGCTGTTCAGTTTCCCTGTATGACTGTCTCTAACCTATGACACCCACAGGTTACCTGAGGTGCACTTTGTATCATCATCTATGCCACTCATGAAGATGTTCAGGAATGTGGCCCCCAGTACTGCCCCTGTGGTACTTTGGCCATTATCAGCAACCATCCAGACATGAAGCCATTGACCACTATCCTTTGAGTCTGGTAGCCTGGCAAATTTAGACTCCACCTAACAGTTCTTTCTTCCAGCCTATACTCCCTCAGCTTCCAAATGAGAATGCTGTGGAAGGCAGCATCAGGAGTTTCACTAGTGCCAAGGTGTATTGCATCCACCAATATTCCCTTATTCACAGGTGCAGTCATTTCATCACTGAAGGTGAACAGGTTGGCCAGGAGTGGTTTACCCTTGGTCAGTCTGTGCTGATTATTTCCAAGAATCTTGTCCTTTATATATTTGGAAATGGATTCTGAGAGGATGTGCCTCATGGTCCTGGGACTGAAATAATGCAGATTGGTCTACAGTTCCCGGAGTCTTTCTTCTTGCCTTTTTTAAAAGATAAGTGTAATGTTAGCATTTTTAAGTTGTCAGAGGCCTCTCTTGGTCCCTGTGAATTTTGATACATGATAAACAGTAGTGTCACATCACTTAGCTCTTTCTGCACCCAGAGGTGAATATCAGTCATCCTATGGATCTGTGTATATCCAGTTTCTCTAAGTGGTCTCTAACCAATGTTGCTAGCCCCTCTCCTTCTCAGACTACTGGTACATGTGGAAACCTGGGAAGAGGCTTTGTCTGTAAGAATTAGGAATTAAAAAGGGCATTTTTTTTCAGCCGTTTCTGTATTATTTGTCATTAGGTTGTTCCCTAAGTCAAAACACCAGTGTTTTCTATGACTTTCTTTTTGCTACCAGCATATTTGTAGGCTCCCTTCTTATTTCCTTCGGTGTACCTCAGTAATAAAAGGTTCAGCAAAGCTTTGTTTTTGTCCCAAAATATGTAACAAATGCTTTTATATTCCTCTTTTTTTCTTGGTCCTTTTTTTCTCCCTCTACTATTTTCCCTCTTTGTGGTTTTAGTTCACTGAGAAGCTTTTGCTCTTCTGAACAGATTTTCCAGTACAATGGGATGGTTTGTGCCTGAGGTCTTAGCAAGTTTTCTTTAAAAATCTAACTCTCCTGGTCATCTTTTCTCTTGTTGGCTCTTTCCCAGGGGACTCTTCCAACCAATTCCCTGAATAAGCTGAAATCTGAGCTTGTAAATTATGGAGTCAGAATTTTGCTATTTCACCTCCCAGCCTTCTGGATTGTGAACGCTGTCATCTCATGGTCACAGGACCAAGCCAAAAAGGAACACCACCCCTTGAGAATTCACATTAGGAAGTTGTCACCAAGTCTGCGCATAATCCTCCTGTGTTGCATGCACAACGTCTTACCCACTGTATCAAATCACTCAAGATGTGTGTCCTGAGCCTAAGCATAAATAAAACTTACATGCCACTTTACCTTAAACTTGCTATTTTCTGAGCCTTGCTAATAAATTAAAGCATGAATGAAAGAACTGTGATGCTCTTAATGCTGCAAAAGTCAAGATGGCATGAGAGCTCTTCAGAGCAAAAGTGTCCCCTAGACCCCAGGTGTTATGAGTCATACTGCTTTTAAGTCAGCATAAAAAACACAAAGAACCAAATTACATATCACTGGATTTAAAATGTTTATGACTTTAAAACTTCTAACATAAATTTCTACATGGTTTGCTTATGTACTAAATCTCAGGGATGATGGCCAGCTAGCCATGGCTTACACCCATGCCAGACTAGTTCTCTGCATCAGCAAGCAGGCCTAGGCCTGGGGTGCTGGCTCCAAAGATCTCGTGATTGTCTCAGAATCCTGGCTTTCCTTTCAAAAATAGAAAGTAAGCCCTTATGCTCATGGCTACAAAGAAAAGCTTGGAAATGTAAATGTTATCACTATGGTCATGCATATCTGACAAATGTTTTCTCTTGAAATTATTCCAAACTTCTCAGAATGAAACAAAAGGAATAAGGCTCAGGAAGACAGCCCTGCAGAGTGCTCTATGGCTGGAAGAGAGCAGCAAATTTGGTTGAGCAATGAGGCAGGTGGAGGTCATTAGAGCTAGTAACTATTAAGGGGACCTTTGCCACTCTTGCTGCTCCCCTCAAGAGGACAGATGGCAGCTTCTGCTTGTATTTAGGAGCCGAGCCTGAGCCTTTTGCTCTTTAGGGAAGGTTTCTATTTGAGTTCTGGGTGGGTTCACATTATTTGTAGCTGGTAAAGGCTTTCTGTTACCATCCTTAATCTGGGTTGTGTTAATAAAGCCCTGTGAAGTGTGTTCTTAGCGTTCCCAACATGCTAGCCTCAAGGTTCCAAAAAAGGTAACACATACTTTTCAACTCTTGTGGTCATCTTCAGAATCGGTTATCCAGGAAAAGTCTGTCCTGCACACTTGAGTGAGTCAGGATTTTAGCAGGTAAATGAATCACAGCACTGAGTAGGTCCAGAAGGCATACAACTATATTCCTCTGGTGCACACACATGGCTTTATGATTTATGTCCCTTCAGTGTACTCTTGAACAAACTGTATTTTCTAACTATCTTTTTAGTAAAGAGAGATCTGCATGTTATGTATCTGTGTATGTGCATATGCTGTCGGAAAAAGCTTTGGTAAAGGAAATGTTCTATTAATATATGAAGTAATGTTCATAAATTATAAAGTAGTCTTCCTGAGTTTTCTTAGAAAACATTCTGCCTTGTTTTTCCTGAGAATGTGAGTGGTTTATTATTGCTAAGGACTTTCATCACATATAGAGGCTCAATTGCATTTACCTGCCATAAATACAAGGAAAACACAGTTCCTGCCTCAGAAAACCAGTTACCTACGGGAATACTAATTCATTAACTGTTGGTAATAATAAAACCCTCTTAGTTTTCAGGTTGTGTAACGAGGTGTTTGAAAGTGCCTGGATGTTTTTTAAAGTGTAATTTACTTAATTTGTGGCTTGTTTATTTTTGGCAGTGCTGAGGGGTTAAAACCATTTTTCACTGGTATAAATTAATTAACTCTACTGATATAAATGATGGGCAGCCACTGGATCTAAGTGAATGTCAGGTTCTTTAACTTCATCAGTAGTGATAAACACTATGTGGCAAATACCTCAGTGCACAATTGGTTTCCTTTCTAAGGTACTTTGTACACATGGTAGCTGTTTCTAGACTGCTTGTCTTGTCTTCCATGAGCATTTCAAATGGAAGAATTATGAAGCAAGCACTCAGAGCTGTCAAAAACATCAATGCTCCTGATGGCCTGGTTGTCCTGCTTTGATCTAATGAACAGCATGTTTGTGTGTTTGTTACAGATCAAATCTAGCTTGCTCTGGGTGAAATAGAGAGGCAGTTTTGATAAGGCAATGTATAAGGCGTAGTTGCAAAATGTTAAGAAATATTTAAGATTCTAACTTCTCTACTGCATGAAGTACTTGTGTTCTTGAATAATTCTTTGAAGTGTACATGTCAGGGGTACCTCAGTATAGCAGATATTTGGGAAAAAATAACATTTTGTTTTCGTTGTTTAAAACAATATGGTAAAAAGTCAGAATGATGCTTAAGGAAAAAAAAGGCTAAGGAAAAGAAAGTAAAGTAAATAATTTTTTACCTAGTTTATTTCTAATTTTATTTACCTAGTTTATTTCTTATATTCCTCACTGACACAATTTTTTTTCCATTTAGTACCAGACTACTGTGCTCTTCAGGACCATGGTTGTGAACAGGAATGTGTTAATACAGATGATTCCTATTTTTGTCAATGCCAAGAAGGGTTTAGACTTAATCCAGATAAGAAAACATGCAAAAGTGAGTAATCGTTTGGACATAATAAAGTTTATCTGCTTTTATTTCTTAAACCTGCTGTGAATTGTTTCGCTTCTGAAAGGATGGAAGTTTTCTCTGTAATTAAGGTTGAAACAAATGTTTCTTTATAAACTTGAATTTTAACTGAACTAGTCATGCTGGGGTAAATACACATTTTTGCTGTTTTGTAGACTGCTTTGTATATTAGACATTTTCTGAAGAGTTTTATGCAAACCTGAAGATTAATATAGGAACCAAAGTGCCTAAAAAAAAAAAGCTCATTACTTATTTGAAACTTTCAGACCTTGGCTTGTAGTGACACAAACAGCTTTTAAATTAAAAAAAAATCCCCTTGATTTGCCCAGTTGGTTTAGCCAAGGACAGATATATTTCATTAGCTTGGAAACATATTGGATAAGTAACGTATCTCTCAAAATCATCTAAAAGTCACATGCGAACCCCCACAGCTTCCTAAAAAGATTGTAAAAACAGCCTGAGCAATGTCAAGATTCTAAACCAAACACACATACTATTTCCTTTAAAAAGACTTCAGTGTTACAGATTTTCTTGAGTGGGGGCCTGGAATCACAGCAATTTTTTAATGTAATGTATTAAAGTTCAGGGAGAATATATTCAGCAAAATGAAATAGCTTGATCTGGTGACTTGGGTTTGGGGGAGGAAATTGTACTGCTGGTATTTAATGAATAATAAGCTTGCTTGGAGCAATGTAATGATATTTCTAGACACTCATAAAATGTATCTGGATTTGAAACTATTTTCTTTCATTCTTAAAGATGCATTCTTATGAAGCATTTTCGTCTGCACAGTGCAAGGATGTAATTGCAAATTAAAGGCAAATTGTAATTCCCATTTGGGGTATTTTTCCTCAGGGGGCTTTGGCTTTGGCTGTAAATCTGGTGATGCTTCCAGGATTAAGCTCCTATTCCAAATCTTGTTATAACAAGGATCATGTTAGCTGAACTTGTAAAATAAAGCAGCACATTTGCATATATGCCCTCTTCATAAATCAGGGAGAATAGATCAGTGGTGACTAGCACCAGGCATTCCTCCTTCACCATGATATGTGACTTCTGATGAGTACAGGAGATCTGTGGGAGTCAAAGTGAAACCTTACATAGCCAACTATTTGCAATCTGCTCTCAGATCCTCTGCTCACTATCAGCTTTAGCAGGTATCCAAAGCACAGAATCCAGTATTGTTTAAGAAAAGTGGTTTTTTTCTAAGCCACTTTTACTTCAGAAACCCTTATGGCTGGCTTCAATTCTTCACTGTTTTTCTCTTCACAGAAGTAAACTTCTATGCTCTAGATCAGCATGACTGTGAACATGAATGTGTTAACATGGAAGGGTAATTTGTGTCATGTCATCCTGGATACACCCGACAGCACCATGGCAATACGTGCAGCAATGAGTTGTTCTCATGAACTGCAGTGACTAGTTTAGTGCAAGGGCAAGGTGTGAACAGAATGAGAAAATACTTCTGGGTCCCTCTTGAGATATTTCTGAGTCATGCAAACCTATGTTACTGTAAAGTCCACCACGAGCCAGGCCTGGTGACGTAATGCTATAGTGAGATCCTTGATCCAACAGCATCATTTTCTCCAAGCTAGCTAACTGGGAAAGTGTGTTCAACCAATGTGTCTGACACAAAGGCAGTGCTTGCTGTTGAACATCTGTATCATTGTTGTGGGCTGTGTAAGCTGCAGCACACCTGGTACTGCTATATGCTGACACGTGGAGATATGCAGAGACCTACCTCTTCTCTATGTTTACACCTTTGGTGATCTGTTCAGTAAAATGTCCTCTGTTCGTAAGAATGTTGCTAAATGAAGGATCAGTGTTGCCCCCCAAAAACCCAACAGCATTGCCCACATGACATCACCCAGTTTTTAGAAGATAGTTTTATTGCAGAGAGCCATTTTGCATATCATCTAAAATATCAGCAGCATTTTTTCCTGATGTATGTATGACATACTTTTCCAAAGGAATACCCAGTCACTGAAATTTAAAAAAAAAAGTTGATAGGACAGGGAATAATTATTTTTAAATAAACTCTTTGTGATAAAGCCATATATAAGGTAACCTGAATGTCTTGCAAGACCTCAGAACTTTTTAGCAATTATAGTTTTAGACTATCTCAAGTTGAATATCTAAAAATTAATATGTTCCAAGACACTTGTTGTTTTTAAAAACAGTGGGCCTTTCCCGGTCCCTTCCCCTTCTTGTATTTTTTTTTACGCATGTAATAAAGCACATGTGATGACCAAATTTACAGTTATAATGATTTCTAAAACCTGGTAATTACCACCTTTGTGATTACTGCACTCTTTGAAGGAGTGTGTTACAATATTGTGCATGAGAACCCCAGGTATTTAAATGTTAAAAATTCGGTTAGTGTGGGTGTTTGTAAAAGACGGTGCCAAACAGATGCAATTTTTCACAGAGAATATGAGGATTTTATTTTTTTTTTCCACGTTTTTTGTGTACTCTGTGAAGTTACACAAGTCTCTTCATGATGATGTGAACTCTTGGAAAAAGGAGAATGTTCCAGCTGGAACTTGCTTTAGCTGGTAAAAGCTGACACCTCAGCTTCATCTGTTCAAGCCTACATTGTCTCTCTATGTAGGATGGTAAATCTGGACCAACTACTGCAAACTCGTTGCTTAGTTAAACAAACTAATAAACAGAAATATTTAGAATTAAGTGATTTTACATTAAGTGCAGATTTTTTTTTTATGTAAACAAATTGCTACAGACATGCCTGCTCACATCTGTAAATGATTTGTAAATGGAGACATGTGAGACTGTGTTTGAGGGAACTTCACTATTTTTGGTCAAGTTAAGATAAAGTGGTTTGAGCCTATGTAACTAAAAATAGCCATTAACAAACCAGTAATAAAATATTATGAGGAAGTTCAAAGTTTTTTTCCTAAAATCTCCTTTTCTATACTCACAGATTCAGCAAATTACATAGTACATCTGCAAGTGCACGTATCTCACCCTACTGCTTTGCTGTCCACTATATGAGACAATATATTTTTTAAACAAAATTCACACCTCTCTCTCCCTTACCCCACCTTTCAGCTTTCACACAACCAGTTGCATACAAGACTTCAAAGAAATATTCTATTTTATCTTACTTGGAATAGGAAAATCAAAGAAATGGAACTTGTTAAGACACTCTCACGCTCCTAATTTGTATCTGTGCCCCACTAGGCTTTAACTGCTTGAACCTTTTGGCAGGTTAAAGTTTTAAATTGGTGATTTCTCATCCTTTGAAAAAAGAATTTAATGTTTATTAAATAATCTGAAAGACATAATTTCTATTTCAAAAGTTACTAATATTCATACTTGCTGAGAAAATTTTATGGTGAACAAAAGAGTCTTGCTTTTTGAAGAAAGAAAGCATGATTCTGTGAGTAAGACCAGAATGGGCTTCAGGGTTCTCCCTTCACTCCACTTGGTGTTAGTTCAATCACACTGAGATTTTTGGCAAGGGAGATCTGTACTTCACCAAGTCTGTTACCTGCCAGGTGGGGTTGTTGTATTAATTTCACTTATGTGTTGTTAATTAACTCAGATTACTCAAATAGGCGGGAATACTTGCATACGTAAAAAGCTGTACTGATCTTTTTCCCTTGCTCTGCAAAGGCATTGTGTACTACCTACAGTAGTTTATGTATCTAAGATGCCAATGTCTAAGATGTTCAATCATTAACACATCAATAGGAGTGGACCACTGTGCTGAAAGCAATCATGGATGTGAGCAACTGTGCCTAAATACTGATGACTCCTACGTCTGCCAGTGCTCTGAAGGGTTTGTCATCAATGAGGACCTAAAAACCTGCACACGTAAGTCTTGTGAGAATGCCCTTTATCTCAGCTCACCTGCCCTTTTTCTTGCAGTCAGGCAACACAGTTTTAAGATAAGTTAAACTGCATGTCCTCAGTCACAAAAATTATATAGAGAGAAGTGACACGAATCAGCAAAAGCAGTTTGCCTTTGTATTCAACATTATCTTTGCCTCCATACCAGCGCTTTTATCCCCATCCAAAACCTTGCTGGATTTTGCTTCTGTCTGCCACTGCAGCTCTCTAGAAAGCGGCAGACAGTAACACAAAAGAAGAATTAGTGTACCTGTAACAGCCATAGGGTCTACATTGAAACAATTTACCTAGACATTTATGTGTAGAACCACTGAAAATTGTGAAACAGACAAACTATAGAGTTTTATCAACTTGCAAATGGAAAATCCCTTTTCCTTTATAGTAAAAAGAGGTGATTTTTCATTCCTGAGTTAATTTCCTCCAGTTTGTACTTGGAGACCTATCAATGGCAGAGTTCGAGAAGCATTTGGACAACATTTTCAGGCACATGGTGTGACTCTTGGGGCTGTCCTGTGCAGGGCCAGGAGTTGGACTTTGATGGTCCTAGTGGGTCCCTTCCAACTCAAGATATTCTATGATTCTATGAAAATGGTGCTGTGACTTCTGGAATCTCTCTTGTGCAATGAAACTGAGCCCTTTTGAATAGCTCCTCTTCTTGCCAGCGTAACTCTCTCCTCATATATATTTAGGAAAGAGATTTGTCCTATTCCTGAGTTCTAAATGAGTTGTTGAAACCTCCTGAACGTTTTTAGGCTACCATGAAGAGAGTTTTGGCACTTTGCAATTTCCCGAATGAGCAGTTGAATGGAAGAGATTAGCATTTAATATATACCACTCCTAGTGGGAAAACAGGGGACCTTCTAGTGTCATATACACCGACATTAGTATCTTGAGAGAGCTGTGGGAACAACTGAATGGTAAACAAATCTATAGTCTGACAACTAATTACAAAAAAAAAATGAGTGTGTGTAGCCAATAGATAGTATCAAGTGCTGCCTGCAAAGTCCCAGGAGCCCTATGTCTTTATATTACAGAGAAGAAACACTTGGGAAATCTGAGATGTAAAGTGGACCATATTTGACAGTACTTGTTGTTTGCAATTCTTTGCAAAAGCTTGAATAGTCCAAACCAAATCCCACTGATGTCTGAGAGGTTTTCTGCTTGCTGCCACAGGACCTGGGTCAGGTCCACAAGTGAGTTCTGGGGTCTGCCACCTTCACATCAGGCCATTTAGAGACTATTTAAAGAACGCTAACAAGATAGCTTTTATGTCTTTGCAAGTGTCTTGTATAAAATCATTGCCAAAGTGTTTTGTTTTGTTTTAATTCGCTTTCTAATTACTGAGACATGGACTCTGTTTAGCTATTTTAAGCATAGAAAAGTATAATTTCTCAACTCTGCTTAAAGCAAACAATGAAAAGTACATCACTAGGCCCTCTCACAGTTTATTGAAGCTATGTATATATTACAGATGAGAAACCGAATTATTGTTTAAGCAGATCAATGCATTTATATTTACTTGCTTATATGAAATGCAAATACTAGAGATGAAAAATAATTAATTCATTATTGGTTAAATTTTTTAATAATTTCAATTGCTCCTACAGGAGTTGACTATTGTGCTCTGAGTGATCATGGCTGTGAACATTTGTGTGTAAATGGTGACAGATCTTATACTTGTCAGTGTTTTGAAGGATACAGGCTTCGTAACGATGGGAAAACGTGTAAACGTAAGTTATTATTCAGCAACTCAGTTTAATATTACACACAGAAGAAATCTGTAAGGTGGGTTTGATTGCCTAAACATTGCAGTCCAATGTGATTTTTATATGTTCAAGGATTTCAAGAGGTCCTAATTTCACTTTTGGTGTCATATCATCTTTGTCTATATCTTGGAAATGCTAAGGCATCTGAAGTGGTACTGAATGTATAATTTTAGGCACCTGAATCATACCCCAAGTGTCTGTGCCATTTTAAAAAGTAGTCCTGAAATAGGACAGTTGTGGATTTTATTTTGAGATACTAATTGTATTTAAATTTTGAACATCTGCTTGCTCAATTATAGCTGAGGATTTTCCAGAACTTCACAGCAGGATCATAAATTCATCTTTCTCACTACCTAAAATGCCATATACACCAAACTTTTGTCATCCTGCTTTACAGAAAAAATTACAAACACCTTCCAAGCTTAAGCACAAAGAAAACAAAGACTAACTGTTTCAGCATTGCTGAAGATAAAAAGATGATGATAGAAAAATCAGTTTCTCACCAGAAAGTTTACTTACAATGTGGATATGGGATTTATGCTCCTTTGGAAATTGCAGTGTCTCACTAATCTGCAGACTAGGGATATGTGAAATTTCACAAACTCTAGAATTGGAACAATGCACTTTTCCTTAATAGTAAGTTTGTAAAATTAGCAGGACAAAGATGTATTTTTTGTTACAACAAAAAAAGACAACACGTGCTACAAATGATTTCAAGAATTGAGTTTGGTGTACTAGAAAGGATAAGAACATTCAGTAGATCACAATTGTAAGACTTTGAACAAACACAATTTGTCTGCCTTTGACAAACACAATTTTTTATATATTAAATTATTCCCAGGTAAAAATGTCTGCAAATCAGTCAACCATGGCTGTGAGCATATTTGTGTTAGTGCTGACAATTCCTACATCTGCAAGTGTCGTGAGGGATTTGTGTTGAGAGAAGATGGCAAGACGTGCAGAAGTGAGTGACCGATATCTACTGAACATTTTTGCGTGTGCATCAGGCAAGGAAAGAAAGGGGGTTTTCACTTCTTACTGGAAAGAAAAAAAAACAAAACTTACTTTTTGATATCTACATTTCTTTAACATATTTTTGTTTGAAACCTACATTTATATCAATCATTCCCAGGACGGGACATCTGCAAATCAGTCAGCCATGGCTGTGAGCATATTTGTGTCAGTGAAGATGACTCGTATGTTTGCAAGTGTCATGAAGGTTTTCTGCTGAGAGAAGATGGGAAAACATGCAGAAGTAAGTATTCTGATAATTACTCATAGACTTTGATCTACCGTATGTAGATCTGCAGAAGGCTTTGAACAAACACAGCAACAGGTTACTGTTAGAATATAGGAGTAGTATTGTTATACCTGCCAGAAGCTTGAAGAGACTCTGTGGATAAAAACAATGTATTTTAATAGCTGAACTGATAGACTAGAAACAGAAAATACTCAAAATTTTTCAGGTATCAAGAGTTAAAAGTGTTTGCTGCCTAAATTTTTGTCCGTTTGTTCCAGTGATCTCAGTAGACCTAGTAAGAGCTGTTACTTCTCCCTGAATGATATATTGGCTATGGATGTGCTCTAACCTAATATCATCAATGTTCTCAGATAAAGACATCTGCAGTTCCGTTCACCATGGCTGTGAACACGTCTGTGTTAATGCTGATGAGTCGTACATCTGCCAGTGTTATGAGGGATTTGCACTAAGGGAAGATGGAAAAACATGTAGAAGTAAGTATCCTTACCTTTAAAGAAGATTTCCTTTATAATCTGTGCATTTGTAGACATGTTTTAAATATGGCAACCTTATTTTTTTGACAGATAAAGATGTTTGCAATTCTGTTGACCATGGCTGTGAGCATATTTGCGTGAATACTGATAGTTCATACATCTGCCAGTGCTATGAGGGTTTTATATTGAGGGATGATAAGAAAACATGTAAAAGTAAGTCATTTTATGTTACAATGTTTTTTTATATTCAGAGGTCTACTGAAGAAACATATTATTTAGAGGCAGGTCTTCTTATAGGAGATTTTGCCTAACAAAGAGGAGAATAACCTCTTTATTTGCTAGGAGATTATTACTGTTAGTCTTTAAAGTTTTGAAAATGTTCCTATTTGTGAAACTGTAGTAAATAAAATCTAAATTATTCCTAGATAAGGACATCTGCAAATCAATCAGCCATGGCTGTGAACATCTTTGTGTTAACAATGACGATTCATACACTTGCCAATGCCATGATGGATTTGTACTAAGGCAAGATGGGAAAACATGCCGAAGTAAGTAGTTTATGAATAAAACAAGAAATTTCATTTTCCTTTTATTGTGATATTATTCACTGATTCATAGTGACCAGAATGGAATATTTTTCTCTATTTTTCATCAGACTTCTATGAAGTAAGTATTGTTTAAACAAAAGATACATTTCAGAAAATTGGCCAATTTTAAGATTTGAATGTAGTTTTAGAAATGTGAGCTTTGTTTCCAGATTAAGTATGTTGACTTTTAATCTTGAGCATAGGATGTTGCTGCACTTTAATGGGTTGAAGTTCTAATTGCCACTGGGTTGCTCTGAGTATATTCATGCGGATCATGACTTAACCCATTCCTTATGTTAACCTCTTAGAATATTCTTTTGTAAATGATAAGCAAACGAAACTCCTTCAGACTTTTTATATGTTTTCTAGTCTTTTTATAACTCTTTTCTTGCTCCCTTAAAGCCTCTGCTATTTATCAACATCCTTGTAGGGGCACCCCGGTGAAACAAGTTCTTCTAATAGGAGACAGAGCAGGGGCCAGGGTAGAGGAACAATAACCCACCTAATTCCTGTTTGAATCTACCTATCTTTTTTTATCTTTTATCTTTTTTTAATCTATCTTTTTTTATGACAAAAGATAATGTTACTCTCTGAACAAAATATTCTGCTAATATTTGTTTTCAGTTAGTTATCTACCAAGATCATAAGTTGTTTTAAGATTCTCAGTTATACAGGTGTCCCACGCCTTTGTTTCTAAATGCATAAGCTTAGTTCTGGCTATTTTAAAATATATATGTTTTTCTGTTATCCAGATTCCAAAAAGAATCATGTCTTCTAATATCAGCAGCTGCTCTATTTTTTTTTTTTTGCCATTCTCTCAAAACTGGAGTAACTACAAAATTCGTCAGTGATTATTTTGTAATTTCTTCTGGGCTTTCCATAAAAGTGTTAAGTAGAAACGAAGTAGGGCAAATTCTTAGAAAAAAAGCCACTTGATGGTCTTCCAATTACAATTGATTCTGAAGGCCTTTCTAAGGCAGCATTAGTCCAAATAATGTTGATTCTATAGTCTGTTTCCTTAATCAAAATAAATGCCAAGACTTCTGCCTTTCTGACTGCTTCATTGTATGAACAGCATGAGCTTTATGAAACAGCTTCATCGTCAATTAAGAAAGATATTTATTTAGTTTTCCAGGATCTGTTTTTCCATAACACCAAGTTGATTGATATTAATGCCCTTTCTTTGGTTTTACTCTGAATCAAGTTCCACATTATCTATTCCATTATTTTAATGAAGATCAATGTCAAGCTGACAGGCTTACAATGAACTACTCATCCTTTTAAATACTGGAACGATAGTATTTTTTTCAGTGTGCATCCAAGGTGTTCTTCAGGCAGCTCTTTTACACCTATTTGCTGCAAATTATCTGTAGTTACTGGTTCAAAAATGTGTGTGTGTGTTCACTATGTGCTGTGTGACCTAAATCTGAGCTGATGGAACTCTTCACTCCAACAATACCATCAGTAGTCTATTTCATATGTTCAGATCTGAATACATAAAATTTTTAACATTTCTGCGTTGATTGGCAATTCTACCATTTCTGTCTATTAATTAAAAATACATTGTTAGAATGCTTTTTGTTCCTAATAATATTTAAATAACATACTCGTACTACCCTTTATTTGGTTGGCCATGCACCCCCTTGTCCTTTTTATTTCAGTGTTTACAAATTCCTAATATTTTCACGTTCAGTAAATACTGTGAATGTTCTTTCCTCCAGTCATTATTCAAATCTTACAGCTGTCTTCATCTTCAATTTCTAAATTTTTTAACTACTCTGGCATTCTTTTCCAATTGTGAGACTATATTTTTGGGGAATGTCTAGTAAAATCATTGCAATCATTGACTTTTTTTACTACTATTATTATTATTTCCCACCCACCCCCTGCCCCCTCAGATCCCAAAATAGTCTGGCTCATATTTGCTTTCAGCTGTGTAAAATTCATCCTTTTGAAGTAATAGCCATATCTGTTGCTGGTTTGTTTTTGTTTCTGTTTATAAACAAGAAATGGGTCTAAGTTGCACACAGCTATGTATAAGCAGATGCTAATTTTTATTTATATTATAATTTCTTTTTTATTTGCTATGATGGAATCTAGTTTAGATTGCCATGTCTTAAATGTAATTTGTGTTGAGTTAGAAGGTTGTCTTATGTAGTAGTTTTTGGAACATAAGGTTTTCTTCACTATGTATTAAACCTGAAGAGTCAATTTGAACTTGACTGTCAGTATTGTTCCACTTTTTATGTAAAGGTAGTTCTCCATTAGAAACTGAGAATATTTTCTTCTGTGTCGCAGTGAAAAAGAAACAGAGAATGCTGATAGATGGCTCCACTTTCTTCTATACTTTACCCCCATCTATCCTTCTTGAAGAGGTTTTAACCCACTGGTTTAACACTGAAGTCATATGAGTCCTCCTATCAATTCTCAGCAATACCAGTTAGATTTTATTTATTGTCTCAAATAAGTAATTCCTATTCTTTATGGTGTTTTTTTATGCAGACTCTTGGCACTGATGTAAGGATGTTAAAGAATTATTGTTAAATCATGTCCTGTGGTGTTTTTCCTAATTTCGTTATCCCAATATGAATTTGTGCTAAATGACTGTACTAAATTATTCCCTCCTTTCACTCTTACTGCTCTTAATGTAAAGTCCTCCTCCTTAATCTAGTCAGATTAATCCTAAAATGATTTACTGTTAGTTGAAGGCCATCCAAACCATGCAGTTCTTTTTGCTCAGATGGTAAAGAACTCACGCTTGATGTAAGCTAAGCTATCCGTCATTTAACTAACCAGAGATTTGCTTTCAGTTTGGAGACTTGCTTCCATTTGCTCAAGGGATTACCTCCACAGTATTTGTATTTATAAAAAAAAGTTTAACTAGCAAACCACATTAAATATTATCTAACTATTCCCAGGCAAGGATATTTGCAAATCAGTCAACCACGGCTGTGAACATGAGTGTGTTAATGCTGGTGATTCGTTCGTTTGTAAGTGTCAGGAGGGATTCCTGCTAAGAGAAGATGGAAAAACTTGCGAAAGTAAGTAGTCTGATACTTACCAGCATCTGTAGCTCATGCTTGTGTAGAAATGCATTAAGCAGCAAAAGCTGTCATCTGCTTTCAGATAAAGATCTTTGCAAATCAGTCAACCATGGATGTGAACATGATTGTGTTAGTTCTGGTGATTCGTATATCTGCAAATGCCACGATGGGTTCCTACTCAGACATGATGGGAAAACCTGCAGAAGTAAGTAGCATGAGAATGTAGTTTGATGAATTACACATATAATCAAGGCCTCTGCTGATGTATGCTGACTACCAGCTCTCCTGTTTGCAGACAGGGATGTTTGCAGCTCGGTTGACCATGGCTGTGAACAAGTTTGTGTGAATACTGAAGATTCCTACATCTGCCAGTGTCGTGAAAAATTCATACTGAAGGAGGATGGAAAGACATGTAGATGTGAGTAGGCTGAGCATAAAAGTATGTTTTTATTTGAGGCTTTCAAGTGTTGTGGCTCTGAGTGTTTGCACACATGTATGTTTGTGATTTCCAACTATTTGGGCTGGTTAAAAAACCCAGCCTTAATGAGCCTCACCTCACAAACCCCATCCACTCTTCTCAGATAAAGATGTTTGCAACTCAGTTGACCACGGCTGTGAACAAATTTGTGTTAATACTGATGATTCCTATGTCTGCAAGTGTCATGATGAATTCATACTGAGGGAAGATGGAAAAACCTGCAGGAGTAAGTTATTTAATCTGTGGTTTGTACTTTTTGATCTGTTACTGAAACACACTATGCAACAGTAGTGTCTTATTTGTGTCTTTTATACAGAATCAACTTCATGGAAGTGAGCTTCTTCATAGAAAATTATTGCCATAATTATTATTTTGTGAAAGTTATTTACTTAGCTAACTGTGCTAAATACAGTTTTCATTATTCCAAGCTAAAAATGTCTGCAAAACAGTCAACCATGGTTGTGAACATGTCTGTGTTCCAACTGACGATTCATACATGTGTCAGTGTCACAAGGGATTTATATTGAGGCAAGACAGAAAAACGTGCAGGAGTGAGTAGCTGAAACTTTTATGGGGAATCTGTTTTCCAGTCATAAAAGAAATAACAGACTTAATTTCACTCAAAGCTTGTTCATGCCAGTTTTGCATTTAAAAAGTGGTCTAATAAGGAAATTCTCTTAACAATTCTCAGGTAAAGATGTGTGTCAATCCATTGACCATGGCTGTGAACATGTGTGCATTAATAATAACAATTCATACAGCTGTCAGTGCCATGAGGGTTTTGTCCTGCGACAAGATGGGAAAACATGTCGAGGTAAGTGACTAATCGTGTCTGTCAATCACTCTCCCCTGGCATTGCTACGGAAACAAACTAAGATGTTATATTCCTTTGTCATATGTTCTTCAAATATTATGTATGGTGTCTCTGAATTTATAAATGTGTTAAATGGAATACAGATAAATATTTCAATTTTTCCTAGATAAAGATGTCTGCAAATCAGTTGACCATGGTTGTGAACATACCTGTGTTAATAATGATGATTCATATATCTGCAAATGCCAGGAGGGATATGTACTAAAAGACGATCAGAAAACATGCAGAAGTAAGTACATTTTATTTAGAAAGCATTTTTTTATTTGATTTCTAAAATTAACTGACCTCACTTCAAAAAAATCATAGAATCATAGAATGGCCTGAGTTGGAAGGAACCTTTAAGATCACATAGTTCCAACCCCCCTGCCATGGACAGGGACACCTTCCACTAGACCAGGCTCCTCCAAGCCCCATCCAGCCTGGCCTTGTACGCTGCCACAACTCACTTCAAACATGAAATAATATTTGAAAGCCCAAAGCATATATGTGTGGTGGGAAGTGTTGCAAACAATTAACTTGATGCTCTCATAAGCAAAACGCTATCACATTGGAACAGTTGTTTTGGTATAGCATCAAGTACAATTATAATTATTTCAAAACATCAGCAAAAAAAGCCAAAATAGAATCTTATTAACAAGGAATGTGAACTTTAATCAGATTCATATAGTGTATCTTTTATCTTTATATACTGTATTTTAAAATACCATTAATTCTATTTGCTTGTCTTCCAACATGATATGCATTTATCTCATCTCTTAATACTTGGAGGAGAAATTCTTTTAGTGGAATACAGTAAAAAATATTTATTCTGCTAAAAATGGATGCCTTAGTCGAGGAGACTACGATTACCAAAATAATGGTATCCTGTCCATGGCTGTTCTTGCTCCTAACTAAAACCATGCACCATGAACTGCTGATCTATCTTGACTTACACAATGATATTGAGGTGGTTCTGATATTCATATAAGTTGCATTTGCATCACCTTAGTATGTGTAAGGCATCTTTTTCTCAGATGACTGCAGAAATGAATGCTTGGGCAGTTTTAAAATAGATATTTTCTAGAAAGTAAAGTCCAAGCTTTAAAGCTGAAAATTCCTTATTCCTTCATTGACTTGGTAACAGACATCTCCAGTAATTTTGGCTGTCAGAGTAATTTCTGCTGCACAATACTCTTTTGTATGGTGCTTTCAGCATTCTTCCTATACAAAGCTCTGAAATGAGTCGAGGTCAAAGTTTATTTCATCCAGACCAAGAAGCAAATCTTACATTCCTTAGTATGGAAAATTCTACTTGGAAGCTCCATTGATCAAATAGGAGCTAAGCATCTCTGCAGCTAGCCCTTGCACAAAGCGCAGTAGTCTATGCCTGCTGAAACTACTTTGATTTTTGCATGTGCGCTTGCCAAAAAGTACAAGAACTCCAAATTTGTCAGTCTTCTGACAAACTCCCAGCTTTAATGGATAAACCGAAAAGGTTAATTGCAACAATACATTAGCCTTCTAATTACAAGACTGTTAGGCAGTTACAGGCAAAAAACCCCTTATCTAACCAATTCCCTCACCTATAGTTTTTTAACTATTTTTTAACTTCTGCAGTACAAATTCAACTTCAGTAATTCTCTTCCACGTCTCTCAGTGCTGCTCATCTACACAAATGCAAAGTTAGCATATGGCTTATCCCTGGAAGAAAATTGTGGCAACTCTGTCTCTATATCCTAGTTATGTTCTTCAGTTCTCTCCACTTAATAGTCATTCTTAAAACACATCTTCAGACATACTGGCAAAATTGGACAAGCCAGAACAGGGTACTTTAGATGATCTCTTGAGTTCATGCAGTCCCTGGGTATCTAGATCCCTTTCCCAGCTTTGTGGATTTTTTTCGTGGTCTGAACACTCTCCTGCTCATTTCACAGGATGCACTGAAGGCCCAATTGACCTGATGTTTGTGATTGATGGATCAAAAAGTCTCGGAGAGGATAATTTTGAAATTGTAAAACAATTTGTCTCAGGAATTTTGGATACACTTGAGATTTCACCCAAGGCTGCTCGAGTTGGTCTGCTTCAGTATTCCACGGAGGTTCGCACAGAGTTTACATTAAGGCAGTTCAGCTCAGCCAAGGACATGAAGAAAGCTGTGTCACAAATGAAGTACATGGGGCGAGGGTCCATGACAGGACTGGCACTGAGGCAAATGTCTGAGAGAAGCTTCACAGAAGCAGAAGGAGCAAGACCACTTTCAGCCAATGTCCCTCGAATCTCCATTGTGTTTACGGATGGACGAGCCCAAGATGAAGTCTCTGAGTGGGCTACTAGAGCAAAGCAAAATGGTAAGTGGAAATGTTTTTGATATTTAATTCTTAAAGGCAAATACTGTTAGAAATAAGATGTAGTAATGGTTTGGGTGTGCTACAGTATGTGCTAATCAAGAGAGCATCTGCCATAGGAGTGTAGCTGGTACAGTGACCATTGAATCTTTGGTGTTCTCAAGAGCCTTTGCTGCCAGGCATGTGTGTAATCCCTGGAGCGGGACCCACAGTAAGTGTCTCACCACTGGGGTTCTGCACCATGCCCAGGCAGTGCCATGCAGTGCCCTGAACATACCCACTGAGGGTGGACATTTGATACACTGGGAACACTGAGAACTTCATAAAAAATTCTAAGAAAACAATAAAAAAAACCCCAAGCCCCAAGCTGTCTTCAAAATACAGAAATCTATCTTCATGAGAAATACTATGGTAATAATTGGCTATGTTATATTTTTGTTTGCAGAATATATTCTATATTTTGAACCAATTTTGTAATGCTGATGGTGTTCTGGAAGAAAGATGGGTTCTCTTTTCAAAAGGATATAGCTGTCCTGCTGTCTATCTTTTTGTTTCTACATACCTTGTCAGGTGATATGCTGAAATGTGACTGAAAACCAGTGATTTTTAATTTCTAATATGACTGTGGAGAAATTCATCCTCTAGGACACCTGTACTACAAATCAGAAACTTTTAATCTGTTTAGCAGAGTCAACTGAAAATTTTCAAAAGTTTTCAAGAAAGTAAACAATCCCTTTCTTCTTTGCAAAACTTTTTTTTTTTTAATGTGAAACTGCTTTAAAAACCATGGCTGATGGCCTACAGCTCAGAGAAAATAGACAGACTTTAAAAGATTCTGCACATCTTTTTTTCGGTTCTTGTTTTACTGACACAATACATCACTCAGAATTTGATATATGATTAGTGTAGCATTGATCAGGACTGATACCTCTCTGCAAGGAGAAAATGCCCAAGGATATGAGAAGAGTATGTGCTAACAAGTATGCCATTACAATGGGTAAATAAACAAAGTGCATCTTAAAATAGTTTTTTCAAAAAACAATATTTATAGGCTAACTGGTGAGATGTGTGACACTACATGGATGATTTAAAGAAGAAGGAAAGAAGTACAAGCTGACCTTCTTACTTGCTCAATGAAATGTCAGCTCTGGGCTGCTTACACTGATACTGTAATGCTACAAGCCAAACTCATCCCCTGGGTAATTGCAGCATATGCAATGTAGTAATGCTGAATATGAACCTGACCTTGAATACTTTATCACTGATACCTCCAAGTCTTTAAAAAAACCCCAAATCTCAGCATGACTGCTGCATTCATCGAATTGGATCCGTTTCTGGTGAACATTTGACTTTCCTGGCTAAAGTGCAATGGTAGGCAGATTCATGAAGAAAAGCAAGGAGATGCTTGTATTAAATGTTAAAAGCTTGGAAAATCATATTGTGTTATGTTATCAGGCCCATGATTCTTCAGCAAAAAGGTTAAAGTTGCAATTCCGTGAGTGTGCAGCAGTTATTACCCCATGATAATAAAGATATCAAATCTCCTCATCCCAAGTTTTATCTGAAACCAACCAGCTGAAAAGGCAGCTTCTGCTCTTGAATCATATAAAAGAGCTATGAAGCTCATAGCAGTACTGTGAATCACAAATCAGTAGTGGTGGTTCACACTTCCTAAGCTAGAACTGATGTAAAGGAAAATGTTGTATCAAATCATATATTCATGAGAATAGAAAAATAACTGCTGAAAAAAAGGATATTGAAGATCACTATATCTTGTACACATTGCTTGTTTAAAATCTGTATGAGTCCACTTCCTCTGTCTCTGCTTTCAGAGTTAAGAAAACTACAAATCTTCATTTACTTTCTCCATAGCATCTCTGCTGGGGAAATACTTATCCTGAGCATCCCTGTTGTAAGGCTCTTTCTTTCCTAGCCCCACAAATCATTTGTTTTCCCATTCTTACCCTCCTAAGTGGGCCTCCCAGCCTGCTATGCCCTCAGAGTGCAAGAATCTAGTCTGAATACGGTCTGAGGATTTCCATGAAACACTTCAGTATTTTTTTAAAAAATACTGCCATCTTTCAGGATTCTGACCCATTTTCTAGTATGTAACAGGTCTTCTTTCCACCCAATAATTAGCTGTATTGGACATATCCTACATACACAGACACACACAAACCAGGGACTTTCAGTGCAATTGTGAGGGTGAATTATGTGATCCTCTTGGATGTTTTGCAATAACTCTTTCTGGGGCTATTTAGTATCAGTAGTGCCAGGCAACTGTCATCTCTTTAACTTAAAAGCTATATGTCAAATTACAGCAAACAAGTGAGTTTCTACAAATCTCTCAGTAACTAAAGCATATTAAGCCTCTTCAACACTGATGTTGAAGTTACACAGCATATACCTTTCTTGTGCTCTCCCTTTCTCTCATATCCTTCCTTTCACAGAGGAACAAGTACTTAGAATTAGAACTGCTGAAGTAATAATTATGTGCAACTTCTTTTGAATCCAGGTATAATCATCTATGCAATTGGAATAGGAAAAGCAATTGAGGAAGAACTGCTGGAAATTGCTTCTGAGCCATCATATAAACATCTCTTCTATGCTGAGGATTTCACAGCTTTGGAGGACATAAGTGAAGAGCTAAGAGCCCAAATCTGTGAAGGTAACAAAATTCTACTTTCCTTGAGATAGCAAAGGAGCGAATGCTACAGGTGTTTTCCTTTTTAGATTTTTCTTTCCTTTAATATGTGAGGAATATATATTGTTGATCTATCACTGGGTAAAGGTATATAGAAATTATCTTTCCTTTATTTTCATAAAGGTTGCATTAAATGTAGACTTCTATGCCCAGAAGAATCAATTGCTCCTTCCCTTTTCTATTTCTGCAGTAATGCAATGAACCCCACCCCACCAAAGAAGCCTGACCTACTTCATTAGGAATGTAGGAAAATAATCAGGGATTCGTAATACCTTAATGAGAATTAAAAAAAATATTCTTAAGACCAGTGGCAAAAACCTAAACCACAGCAAATAAATCATCAAGACCTGTTGTGCCTATTTATAGAAGACTAAAAATAATTCACTGAGTATACATTCACAGCTACAAAGAGTGGATTTCAGTTGTGTGTAAGCTCCAAGTTTTGCTCCACAAATGTGGACTGTTTGTTCCAGAAAGCACCCTTCTTCACTCTGGCACAAACAGCCTCTGTATTACCTTTCCCAGCTGAAGAGGAAGGGGAATGTGAGCTGGGGCGAAAGCTGTTCAGCCAGGGAGAGGACAGCCCATCTCTCCCACTCACATGTTCCCAAGACTCATTAGTATTTCTACATTCAAACTGGTACCTGAAGCAAAGTCTAGAAAGAACACTAGGAATAGTATTAGTCATAGGAGAATTGTGCAAGATAATTTAATTTTACTAGCTTTTACTTGGTTGTTTTTCTTGGAACTAAATGCAAGCAGGTTTTGCCTTCTTTTTCATTAACATTACTGTGTAAAATTGGCTGCAGCACATTTCTTCCTCATACAGATGTCAAGGAAGAATCTGTTAAAAAAAATTTGAGGATGTTTCCTAGCTTGTACGCTCTCTGTCTTTCAGTCCTAAGTCCTAGTTCCATCTTTCTGAAATACTAAATACTATGATAGCATGAAATCAAGTCAGTTCAGTTAACCTTCCTATTAGGCAAATAATCTGCTGATGACAGCATGTCATCTTAAAAACCCATGGAGATGCCAAAGCCAAAACTACCTGGCAACCAGGATAATAATTCCCACTCATTAGCAAACCCCAGTATAATAATTCTCATTCATTAACAAGCCCCAGAGCTCAGTGATGGAAATGCATTCTTCAGGTATCCACACCGGTGGTTAGCAACCACAATTTTTTTTTCTTTTATTACTTTATGAAAAAAATAAGTAAATCCTGCCCCTTTGTGGCAGTTTCTAGTCTGCATCTCTAGTAACTGCCTTAGCTTCTGTCCTACTCCTCCTCTCTCATAACAGGCAATGAATGCCTCACACCTGTGAGCTGAGGACTCACCCAGCCTTGTTTTTCCGGACACTCCAGGACTAGCTATTGCTCATCAACTCACTCCACCAGGAATTCAGCCTCCAAGTCTGTTACTTAAGCTAAAAGTTTTGGGATGTTTTTTCCCCTTCTGTTTTTACAGCCTAATTTCCCCCCTCCTTTGCAACAGCAATAACTTTATTTTTACTCCAACCTTGGTCCTTAGTTGAGGACTTCTGAGGCTGCAGCTTGTGAGGACAGTGGGAGATCCTGTGAACCTCATGGACTCCACTGACAAAAAGCCTCTCATCCCCAGTCCCAGCTGTGGATGCGCTGCATGTTTCCAACTAAATCAGAAGCCCTCCAAATCTTTTTTTGGGTAAGGCTTTTTCCTTTTATTCTGCAAAAGCATCTGCCTTGTAGAATAGCTTCTGATTACTATTAATTATTCTTGATGACTAGTAGTAAAGGCAAAAAAAAAAAAAAAAAAAAAGAGGGTTTTTTTTTCTCTTGTCTCTTATTAAGAGGAACTCAGTTGGAAGGTTCCCATTCATTGCCTTGGTTAATGTTAATTTCTCATCTGACTGGAAGCACTAACGAGGCTACAGCAATGTCATACATAACACATACTCAACATGATTGTGGCTTCATCCCTTTCTGAGCATGTGCATTATGAGAGCTTTTAATTACATGGTCACATACTATTTTTGTCACCAGACCCCAGCCCTGATCATATGACAGTACTCAGCAGCCTGCTGGTTAACATTCTGTTCTCCTTCTAAATTGCAGATCATTATAAGTGCAGCAAATAGACACTGCTTTAACTGACACTTTTTTGAAGGCTTCTCTTAATAAACTACTTATGTTTTGCTACAAAACAGAACAGTAAAAACAAACTCCCCAACTTCAGTTGTTCCCCAACAATTTCGTTCACTGCACTGACTTCACTAAGGGATTCAGGGTGAGCAGCCTCTCTCACTACTTGTCTGTTTATTCAGCTTTACAGAGGCAATGAGATAAGAAATCTTGGAGCCCCAACCAGTTTCTGAAGCCTAAAGAGAAGTTTCTGAAATGTCCAATTCCCATCCCAAACTGGAGAACCTCTGCCACACCTCTGCCAGTGTATCTGTCTTTTTTCTGTCCCTAATTAGGTGTCCATACCAGCCCAGTGTCCAAAGCTCAGACATTTCAGGTCAGTTCCTCTGCCCATCCTAAACAACCCCTTCATTAGCCTGCAGCTCTTAAACAACTTCTAGAGCACGTCATTACCCGACATCAAACACTCGAGGTTCATCTTACCTGTTTCTTCCCTCTTACACTGGAAATCTCACCATCCATCTTTGCAGTTCATCATTCTTTTGCTAGTCCTCGCCAAGTTTGTTTCATTCCTTACCTTGTGATTTCATCCCACACTTCTCTGCCCTGAACTCTTCTTCAAAAAACTGTATTCCTTCCAGCAGCTGGTTCCCATGCAGACTTTTTGAGAAAGATAGATAGATAGATATAGATATATATATAAAAATATTGTAGTTCTGCCCACTGATCTCTGGTCTTCTTATTCAACCATTCATCTTTGTTCATTCCCTGATCCTCATGCTCAGTCATTCCAGCCCCCACCCAAGAGGATCTCATCTCCTTCCCAGTGCAACTTAGCACAGCTGTATATGTTACTGTGCATCTATCAAAACTGGCTGAACCAGCAGGGATCCCAATAGCTATAGACCTGGGCGGCCCAGATGCATCTTCCATCTCCCTACTGCATCTTCATGGCACATCAGGAGAGTTTGCACTGTCACCTTTTACACTCGTGCATTTATTTTCAGTGCAAGAACTCTGGGTTCCAGAGGGAGGGAGCCCCAGATGCTCCATCCACTCCCTTAGCATGGTCCATCAAGTCGTGCAGTTGTTAACTACACGTTCTTTAGCTCATCTGAGCCATTAAGGGCTCCAAAGTCAGTCGAAGGGAGAAATGTTTATTTTCTAACAGAAGACCCGTTCTTAAGGAAGCAAAGCTGTCTCCACACTTCCCTCTGGCGGCAGGAAAGGGGCAGTGCACAGCACGAGGTGGTTACCCCTACGGATAGAACGGGTTTCCATTTCTCTCCAAACACCTTTTGACTAAAAAGATGAGTGTGCAGAGTTTGAAATAAATCCCTACACTTTAAAGGTTGTTTTTCATCAATTAGAAACGTGTGTTTTTGCTTATAACTGCAGTGCATCAAATAGATTCCACGCTTCTCACCTATACACTCCTAACTCCCTTATCAATGTTTTCTGTTATAAAGAAGAAAACTGAAGGAGAGTAAGAACCTTTTTCTTTCTCCAAGCAGTTTTTATTCTTATTCAGTTCACCTAAAAGGACTGATGGATGATAATGAAACATGCAAGAATTTTCACTAAAGGACACAAAGTAGATTGCTGTCATTTCAGATTGCTTCACTACTATTAATCTATTCATAAAGCACTTTGGTTTTGGAAGACTTCCTCTGATAGTCTGAGTTGAAGGGCAAGTCCTGGAGTTTCCATCAACACTGGACCTCTTCCAAACTGCACAGGTATGAGGCATTCTCCATGTGTAATGAGAGACAAACACCAAGTTACTGGCAATAAACATCTCCATTTCTAGGGAATGTGAACATTTTTATTGCTCCTTTTGTGATACTGTTTCCTTTGACAATTTCTATCTACCAGCCTTGAGCAAGTCACCTCACCAGCAGCATCCATCGTCTGGCAGACTTCATAAGATGGGTCCACAGCCTTCAGGTTGGCTGTTTTCACTCAGTGTCCTGCTGTCTCCCCGGTCATTGCTAAGTTGCCTCTTCACGTCACCTTCTGTAGAGCACCCTCACAACTCACCTGAAGTTGTTCATTGCATTCCCCTGCCTCCCCCTCCTCCAAGCCACCCTCCTTTCTGCAACGCGAAAAATTGAGATTCACTGTAACAAAAGCATGGCTGCATGCTTCTTACGCCATCCAAACAAATTACTTCATGGGGAAACTTGTATTTCAACACTGTACTTCAAGCATGTTCAGCTTTCAGTCACTTGTTTCTCACAGGAACCTTCACAGCTTCCTTTCAGTTCTGCAACCCACATCTTACAATCATGTATACAGTAAATACAGCCTAACAGCTTGGTTCCTTCATATCTTTGTGTCCCTAGTCCTCTCCATGAATGATCCTCACTGCAATCAGTGAGATTACTCACTAATTAAGGAGAACTCAGTGCATGTGAGCAGAAAAAAAAATACTGTATAATTAAGTGGGTTTGATTTTTAGACTTTTGGGGGGTTTCCTGCAGGACCTGAATCAACCACAATAGCCATCACAGATGTCATTGATTGTCCACACCTTGCAATACACCACAAGTATCTTTTTGAAGACAGTCACAGTCATTCAACAACAGGTAATCAGGTTACCTTTGTTTAGAATAACCAGACTGCTCTTTCACTATACAGGCCTACATACTGTTTACTGTTTTCCAGTATTTACAAAATCTGCCCCCAGCATTCCTCTGGATGCTGACCTGTTTTGAGAACAGGAAGCTGTATTAAACTTACTCTGGATTTATAAATCCTTATAATTTCCTCCCTCATCCCATTCGACTTATTAAGCATTTAGCCTTTGCTTGATGGTTTCTGTTTTTCAGCAAAAGCTTCAAAAGATAACGACCAGTGCAAATGTGAAAACCTTGTGACATTCCAGAACTATGCAACTAATGAAGTAAGAAAACTCATCGAGCGATATATCCTTTCCGAATAATTTTTACATTTGAGACAGGAAAGGCAGGTTAATAGAAACTATAACTTTAATGCATCAAGTCCAAACTGCATCCATAGCTCAAATCAATTTGCTGTCATGAAAATCTAAACTACAGAATAATTTCCAAGAAGCAAGGCCTTCAAGACTTGTAATCTGTCTCTCCTTCATAGAAGGGACCAAGATATTAATAAAGATCTTAAGTTTTAATAACCCCTAACAGTAAACATCTTCAGGGACAGCAAAGAAATGACTAGTCAAATTCAAGACTAACACTTGTTGCTTCTTCAGATGGTATTGAAATAGCATTTACTATCTACAGGAGATGTTTTCCTTTTGAACTGCTTGGTGAGGCACCAGATGCAGTGAGTCATTTAAAATCATACTCCAGATGAAGAGGAATTCAGAGGACTGAGGTTTGATTAATTTTGCATCAAAAGAAATGCAGATAAAAATAAGCAAAGTGCAGATCAGTAGCTTCTGTCCCTTCCCCCTCCTCCTTAGTCTGTTTTTTCCAAGGGAAATGTTAGTGTAAAGGCTGCTGTACTATCTGTAACATCTACCATGTCTCAGCAGGCAAGAGCAGCAAATTGGCAATACAATACATCATGCAGTATTTATGCACTATTTATGCAGCAAATTCCTGTCTTCTTCATGAAGGCTGCGTCTGTCTGATCAAATATAGTGAGAAGACATTACATCTTCTATTTAAGTTCTACAACTGAGTGCAAGATCAGTAAGCACTTATTTTCTGCACAAGAGTGCAGTGACACTAACAGCTCCTAACCGTGTGCTTCCTAGACAAGAACAGATTCAGACTGAGGAACCTGTGAAGTCTGTCCAGAGCAAGGCTAACAGAGCCCTCAGGGGCTGTAACAGCAGGCAGGACCAGTGGGCTCTGTTAACCTGATGCAAAACGTTGCCTACCAGTTCAGACCTTACTTCTAGCTATTTTATGTACCTGCAGCAGCCAGCTTCACTCTCACCTTCCCAAGTGAATCCTTTGGTAGACACTTCAAGGAATCATGTTCTGATCTCTTGATTAAATTGTTCAATGCAAAGTAGAATTATTTCATAAAGGGCAAGAAAGCCATTGTAAAAGGTTATTGCTAGGTGTTTCAAAAGCTCATTTCAAATGCCCTTCTCTGAAGGGACTTCTCCAAATTACTTTGGAGAAAAATTTCTAGGTCATTTCCCACATCCTTAAGTTATTTAGGCACATGGACTTCCAGCTTAGATGCTGACAAGAAAGGAGACCGCTCCTCACCCCTTCAGGAGAAGCCTCAGCCTTTTTACTGTCATCTCCTACAGCCAGGCTACAAGGAGCTTCTTCAGAATCAAAGAACAGAGCTCAGCAACATGTGCTTTTTTGCTTTACAATTTGAACAGGCAACCCTTTCATTCCAAGGACTCAAGGTGATGGAAAAGCTGTTGACACTGAGCCAGAGACCTATGGATTCTGATAGGAAGTGCTAAGCACTTCCTCAGAGCACTGTGCAAACACTGCTTTGAACAAAGTAAGAACCATCCAGTTTCCTCTCCATTGCAAATCTTGTTTCTCTGCCTTATCTCAAGAGCAGCTCAGATACAGGGTGATACACCAGTTTTTGATAGCTGCAGAAGATGGCTGGCCAGTCCTCATCCAGAGATCTGGGGGGGAGTGGGAGAACTGGCTACAAAACTAGCTCGTTATAGAATATATAGAGGGACCAGTCCAAACTCTTGAGGATTTGTATCCAGCTACATTTAACTTTTTCTATCAGTAGTTGAATGCAGTTTCCATTGCTTGAATTTTGCCTCTGTGAACACTTGAGAAACATGGATGTTGCAAAGAAAGCAGCTCACGTGATGCCAATATACAGAGTAATCCCTTCAGCAAGACAGACAGCTGAGGAATTACCAAACAAACCCGATGTCCAGGCAGGCTAGTGCCCACAGCAACAGCAGGACCCACACTATTGCTCCTTACTACCCAGAGGATATATTCTCCTGCTTTCAAGGTGGGGAGGGAGGGGACACAGAGCACATGGCTCTTCTGGCCAGACTCAGAGGCTGAATTCAATTTGCCTGTCTACCCATACCAATTCCTGTGCCACTTGTCAAAGATCCCAATTTATATACCCCGTTCTCCCTCTTCCCTTGTGGAAGACCTTAAAATGTTGAAATCAAGACACTAGATTAACAAGCAGAGTGGAATGCAGCAACTTCATCCCTTTGAGGTGGGCCTCAGTGCCTTCAGTTCCCTCCTGGTGCTAGGCATCCTCTTCCTCTCAGCTTCCCTGGGCTGCAGCCTTACCATGGCACTCAAGAGAGATGCTCAGGTAAACAGTACTGGTCCAACCTCCTGCTGCAGCAGACATAAAATTCCTGCCAACTAGAAGTGCTTATCAGGAATACAATGCTGTACACTGCTCTGTATTGCTACAGCTTCTTAGTTTAAGTGGAGCCACCCCTAGATCTCATGGGGCTTGTGTTTTATTCCACATCTGTCTGGAAACCACTGGCTTTGTAAAAACAGTACCTGACACTACATGACCATGGGGCAGAACAGATCAGCAGCAGACATTCTTACTGCAGTCTCAGAGCTCCATACAGTTTTATAGTCTGTTAGTTACATGCAGTTTTCCATGTGATTAATTGGCACATTTTTTAAACAGCCTTAAATAGGAGAAACAAGAGAAAGTTTATAGACCAAAACAATCAGGCAGATGACTTTTCTATTAATGCATCTTAGCACTACCTCTCTTTCCTTAACATTTATGTACTCGAAGAAATGACAAAGAGAATGGAAGACTTGGAAAACAGGCTAAGATACTGATGAGAATTTAAAGTGTATGCTACACTGTATATTTATACATACAAATGTGTCAGAGCTATTTTCTTAAACTGGTTCAAAGTAAAATAACTAATCCTTTTGTCTGAAGTTGAAAAGAGTATTTTGGATCCCTGCATCTATATGCCATGTGTTGTCTTGCATTGATTGCAGATAAGAAATGTTGAAAATTTTATAACAATTTAGTAACTAGCAAAAATCCTAATTAAGCAGAACTTAACTGAAATAAGCTATGCAAAATAATAAAATGCTGTTATTTTTTGAAGTGAAACCTCCATGTTTTGAAGTACTTTTAGGGTATGAATTTATTTATGGCTTTTCTGTTTTTCCCTCCTCCACTCTGCTAACATTTTAAGCACCCAATCTGTGTGAATATATGTAGTACTAGGTATACATACAGAGATAAACAGAACCAGTGGGACAGCACTCAAAGCCATTAGGTTTTACTTGGATTCTTCAAATGAGCAGACTACTGAAATCAGCTGGAAGTAAAAGATACAAATTTACACCTTTGTGTTTAAACTGTGATCAAAGTAAATGCACAGAGGGGCAAGTCTGCTGGATTATCAGGGCATCACAGTCTGAAGTTTCCAGTACTTTTTCTCTTAGCACGTCCAGACCATCCAACCTCTCCCTGCTGTCCCTTGGTCAGTATTCAGATTTTCTAACTTTCCTGAATGCAACTAATATTTTAATTATGAAAACATTCTTTGGTCAATACAGCTAGCACTCCAAAACCAAACACTAAGGAAGCCCTAGCCAGCTGGGATTTGGCACCATTCTTGCCATTATCAAGCCTTCCTCCACTTACCTCAGTTACCTCTCAAGATCCACATCTTCTACAGAAAGAAACAGCCAAGCTTTGTCCCATTAAGGTTATTTCTAACACAACACGAAACACAGCAGTGGTAATGAATCTTCATTTATATGTTTGTTCCCAAAACCAAGAAAGGTATAATAGAAATTTTTCTTAAAAGATATCTGTAACCAGTTTTATTGTAGAAATAACACCTTTACAGCATTTACTTCTCACTGGTTTGTTCTGGCATGCTTCTAATGATGTCAGAGTCACCTGTAAAATAAAAATATATTGTTACAAAAGGACCCACAGAAGGTGCTTTCAGGAATAAGCCAAAAAGCAGGAAAATACCCCACCCATAAAAACACCACGATGATTCTAGAAAAAGAAAACAACTTAAAAGCAGTACAGAGAGCCTGGTTAGGAAAAAAGCAAGTAATTTTTACGGATTTGATAAAAAAAACACTTGTAACTGTATTTTTCTAATCCAAATACAGTATTTTTCCAGTAATTATGTAGCTGTTACTAGCATTTACAAAGCCAGTACTAGAGCAGCAGTCTAGTGCTGGAGGACACAATGCATAGTTTTACTCTAGCGAATGTCTAGCCTCCCCTGATCACAGCAATATCAGGACAGCGAGAATATTCGCATTAGGTTTGTTACACAGCAGCAGGATTTACCTGCAGCTCCCACCCCACCCGAAAGCAAACCTAAAAATGACATTTTGAACATCAGGTTTACAGCTACTGTTTGAATACAAGCAAGCTAAATAAAGTTTTCTGAAGTAACAGTGAATTCAAACTGATGTCATTTGGGGAACATTTGGTGAAAGTTATTACAGAAATCATTAAACGCATGTATATGTATTCTGGGCAACAAACAGAACAAGAGAGTGATTCTTCTCTTAGAACATTCTAGAAAGAGGCTGGTAAGTCACCTAATAAGCAGTCTATAAAAGGAACCTGAGCAACTTTGTGGGACAAAGAGTGCCACCAAACCATAGAAATACACAAAGACTTTTAAAATATAATGTTTACTATAATTTTCAATCCTTGATTAGCACCCATCTGCATATAGGTTATTTTTGGATATATCATTCTAGGAAGCAAAACAGGTCACAGTCCTTTGGTTTTGATTAAGAACAGTCAAACAGGACTGATGTAAACAGCACGTTGCATGAGCTCGTATCTGAGTTAATAGGTTCAGAAACAGGTCCCATAAAGTTGCTTCCTAGGTACTGAAAGCTCCCTATGGACCAACAGATAGAGAAAATGCTCACAAGGTTCAGCAGTAAAAGGAGCTATGTACAAACAGAATCAGCAGTCCTCCAGGTTCTAAGAACCTAGGACTCACAAAAGAACAGGATCTTGGTCAAAGCAAATTAAGAGTTAAACCTGATGGAAAAAGGCAAAGTGTGTCATCACTCCTTCTCTTTCCTTGCTCAGTGCTGCTGCTCACAGGAGAAAGGAGGAACCATGAATACATGCTCATTTGGTCCCTCTGCTGTAGGAGGGAATTACCTGGGTCAATGATGGCCAGTGTGCACACTCTGTAGTATTTTCCACATGCTGTGCCCAATTCAATGTTGTTGCCACTGTAATGGTGGACGCCAGTCTTGGCAAGCATAGCATAGTACTCAATCTCCGATTTTCTGAAATCCAAAAACTGGGTGTTACAGTATGAACAAACAATTCTGACTGACTGCAATACAGAGAGCAGCTTTAACTCATATCACACGTAAACCTTACACAGTTTTCCTTAGCACCCAAAGAAACACAGCTGTTCCTTGCCAGACAAAATCAGCCCTGTGTTGCAGCTCAGGTACCCTTACCCAGACTTATGCTGAAGGTATGTAATAATAAACCCCTCAGGCTGCTCCTATACCTGCTTATTTCTACACAGTAGAAACACATTTTAGGTCTTGCAGACTTCTGAAAAGCTGTGGCTGTGCCAAAATGCATAAACGAAGATCAATATTAATGTTGATATGCAGTGGCCAGACACTGAACAGAGATACAGCTGCTGCTAGCTAAGAAAGAAACTGTGTATTGTAATTTAAAACAAGAAGTCCATTTATATTCCACTCTCTTCTGGCTTCCACCAGGAGAGTCTAGCGGTCAATATTGTTTTTCAAGCACTTTTGGAATCCCCACTAACACTGGGGATTGCTGCCTACTGGAACAGTCCTGCCATTTCTCAAGCGTCTAATTTCTCATTTTCACATCTGCATTTTCTTGAGTCTGTTAATATCCCTTGACAATAAAAAGGGATATTCGACAAGAGACATTCCACAAAGAAAGTGTCAGGAAGTTAGTGAAGATTTCATTCTCAAAAAAGCAACTCACTCACCAGGAACCCTAATTTATAACTAACTTGGACAGCAGATTTTGTATGCTTCAAATATTTTAAATCAATTACAGGTTTTCCTAGCTGTAAAATTATTTTCCAATACACTACTTTGAAAAAGCACAGGAATTCAACCCCAGTACACTCTCAGTGAATGCTAACAGTGTGAAAAGCTTCCTGTACTAGCTTCTCCAGTATGAACTCCTTGGAAGAGAAACCAAAAAAAAAAAACAACCCACTGGGAAGCACTTCAACATATCCAGACCTGAAATCGTTACACACCAAACCACCCATTACTTTTATTTCACATCACTCTGGAACATGCCCATGAAGTCCTCTGCATTACCTCACTGCAGCAATTAGCACACACTGCATTTGTATGAAGAACTTGTCTCAGAGAGAACTGTTTTTCCAAATGTCTGCTCACCTCAAAGCAGGACAGTTGTTGGCGAGGATGACCAACTTGGCTTTGCCCTGCCGGATCATCTTCAGAGTCTGTTTGTATCCGAGCACATATTTGCCACTTTTCATAACCAGCTGAAGCCTTGAGTTTATGGACTCCAGGGACTTTTTCTGGACAAGATGTAGAATAGCATTACTGTGTGTTACTTTCCATTTTTCAAAATCATGGAGAACATAAAAAAACAAAGACATTTCAAATACAAGCAGAACTGAAATATAGAATAAGAAAGGCCACACAACCCTCTGACTGTAAGCAAGTTTGTTGATAAGAGGTTGCTGACACTGTCTTCCCAGTTTCAGAAAGTCTTCTCTTACCTAGGTACCTTACAATAAGAAAATACATCTCAAAGCACTGCTGCTGCCTAGGCAAGTCAATGACATCTGTGTGTATCTGACAGGCCCTCATCAAGCTCAGCTACTCAACTCCCAAGTAAATACGAAGTCTTGCAAGTAAATACTTGCAAATCTAAGTCAAGTTTGGAGCCTGTCTCTCCCTAGAGCGCACAGTGGCAGCGTGATACTGGGCAGCAGAAAAAAGCAATCCCGTGCTGAAGCTCCCCCAGGTAAGGAAAGGCATTTGCAAAGACGAGCACGGCCCCTTTTAACACAAAACATAGACTTGTTAGAGCCACATTAAGAGAAAGGCCAGAACATGGCAGGAAATGCAGAAACTGAGCTCCACCCGCACTAAGAACTGCGCACCAGTTGCCCATTCCTCCATTCAGCTCAGGGCCTTGTGAGCTGCCCGGGAGGGAACCCGGACACAGGACCCGGCGGGAGGGGGCCGGGGAGCG